TGAACAATTAATGTGGAACAGCAGATAGAACAAACTGGGCAATATATCAGTAGATTTCTAATTTTCATGAATGTAACAAATGGATAAAAATAGATCAGTGTAAAAATTCAAATTAAAACTACAAATTGCCACGGTCTTTTACATTTAAAAGATACCTATATATTGAAAACAAAGATAAAACAGATCTTGCTATATCAGTTTACAGAACATACTGAACTTGTGGTAGAAGATGACACACTAGCTGTCATAATGCTTAAACGTGTTAACTATACATTTGCAGTTCAGATTTTTTCACATGTACTATTTGCTTTCTCAGTTGTCAATATATTAAATATTTACAGAAGTGGGTTGCTAAAAAAATTGATGCACTGGGTGTCTATATGGAACATACACTGAGAAGCTACAGATATAGTCGTTTACCACCATGTACCAAAAATGAATCTCCTTAAAACTGAATATAGTCTTCTTGCCTAATTAAAACACAAATATGCATAAATTACTTCTAATAATTTGTAGACTAAGGGATTCAACAGTAAGTCTAAAATTGCTACTCACACAACTGAATCTCTTCCTACACCCTTTTGCTGCTCTACACACACACACACACACACGAAAGATCAAGATTTGGGCACCGATTCTTAAGCACAACTCTTGTTCCTATGTTCTGCTGCCATAGACATTGTTATGTTGGCATGGGGGAAATGATTTATGCAGCAAAGAGGGTTGGGAAATATATGGAGACACACCAAAGATGAATTATCTATCTTGCTTTCTCTATGTCATACGCACACCAAACTCCAACATAATTGCACAATACAGTATCAGCTAAATTCTTTAACCTGTCTTAGATGATGTAGCAAGCAAGCATGGCAGATGTGAAAATCTGTGCCCATTGCATTGCACAGCCTGTGCCACAGCAGTCATGAACAAAACCAGGTTACCCTTTTATATAAAGTGATTTTCAAGGTGGCTAGAAATACAAAGCTTATTTAATGTTTATCTGCACATGGTGGGAAAGCGAGAAGCATTATGCTAACATTAATTCATGCCGACTAATTCATCATCATCATTATTACTAATTACTAATCATCATTATCATCTGCCGCCATTTACAGTTTAGCCAAGCAAAGTGAACTACAAATCTTAGCTTACAAAACAACCGAGAAGCAATCTCCTTCCACTTTGGAATCGAGGCTCAAAGTCCACTCAGGGAGCTCACAGTCCTTGAGTTGTAAGGACTTCCCAGGTCAACAAAAATACTCTGACTACTGTAGCATATGGAGTCTCTAAATACGTATAAACGTGAACCATTTTCAGAGGGGTAGCTGTGCTTGTTGTTTCAGCCGCAACAGAGTCAGCACCCTAAAAGTTTAACGAACATTTTGTGGCATGTTTAACGTCAAAGCTCATGGCACGATGCATAGGTCTGGATATATAGCTTTATTTGCAGCATTTACCGTCAAGAGCAGAGATTGACTTTTCGTCATCATAACTCTGGGAACCAATGTGCACCCAAAGCATTAGTAAAGAGGAAGTTATTTAAAATATTTGAATGTAGAAAAAAAGGGGGGAAAGTGTCCTGAACACATTTCATTTTGTGAGTGATAAATATATTCTTTGACTACAAAACATACTTTCCGATATTCTTATAACATGGCAGTTAAAATCTGAAAATGTTTGTATGTATTTTGCTCAGAAAACTAACAATCTTCCTAGTTTTCTGGCACTAGTAACCAAAGTAATGAAGTGTATGCCTAAAATTTGGAGGCGGGGTTATAACTCCCGCTCTCAAAGAGCCCAGGTACCTTTTTCACACCTAACAATACAAGCAACACGAAGACCAGTATACTAGATAGCACTGCAATTCTTATTGCATAGTACCTTTTTCACACCTAGCTCTCACTGAGGTATGTAAACCTGTGTCTGGACTGTGCCACTTCAGATGACAGGTGGGGGCTCACACAATAGTATGCTCCATTCATATGTGAATATTAGATGTCAGGAAGAAGGGTTCTCGCCTGAGATGCTATTTTTCTCTGTGCAAGAAATATGTTTACATAGAATACTCAGTCAGATGAGCTCCAATCTGCAGCCGGAAGGGGAACATCTGTGAGAAGTAGGGTTTAGTCTTCATACATAAAGGTAAAGGTAAAGGTAAAGGGACCCCTGACCATTAGGTCCAGTCGTGACCGACTCTGGGGTTGTGGCGCTCATCTCGCTTTATTGGCCGAGGGAGCCGGCGTACAGCTTCCGGGTCATGTGGCCAGCATGACTAAGCCGCTTCTGGCGAACCAGAGCAGCGCACGGAAACGGCGTTTACCTTCCCACCAGAGTGGTACCTATTCATCTACTTGCACTTTGATGTGCTTTCGAACTGCTAGGTTGGCAGGACCAGGGACTGAGCAACGGGAGCTCACCCCGTCGCGGGGATTCGAACCGCCGACCTTCTCATCGGCAAGTCCTAGGCTCTGTGGTTTAACCCACAGCGCCACCCGCTGCCTCAATAGGTGGATGGGTATGGGTATATTTGAACACACTGTGTAGGGGACTGGGGAACATGCTAGACAACACATACACCCTAACCCAAATAGACAGGCAATACGTCTATTGGAGACAGAACTCTGGATTGAGGTTGCACCTTTTTCCTTAGAGGCAAAGCACCTAGTTCACATGTGTACATGCAGAGCTGCAACATACAAAAATTTAGTCATAATCTTCCAGCCCAATGCTTCCCGAGACGGCAAAAGGAGGAGAGCCATGTATCTGGGGAAAGGGTGGGGAACAAATGCAAGTAACAACTGTGACAACAAATACACACACACGAATATACACACTCTTCCAGGATGGAGGTCCAAATGCCGTACCTTTGCTGCACCTCATCTAACCACAGTCCTGCGTGTATATTTCACTGAGAACATCAGGTACTTGGTGAATGTCAACGTATACTTAAGAGCGAGGGCAATCCCACAGGAATTTTGTGAACTGCTTAACTGATATACAAGTGCATGTCAGCAGTCACCTAAATGGAATTGTCAGTATTTGCTATGTGCACGTCCAAACAGTGCAAAATATCTATTTCTCAGCATCAGGGAAATTTAAAGAAATGATTTATCTCATTTTATATACATTTAAATAATATTCCGTATAATTTTCTTCCCAGTTTTTTGAGATTCTGTCAAGACTGCCTACTTGCATAGATCTTATGTAATGTTACAATGGATTTCTGAAGTTTGGCGAGTACCAACACTGGCATATGAATGCTGGCAATCGCAGTTAGATAAAGCACTGCTTCAATAGATCCTGGAGTTCAAGTGTTCTGGCTTGGAACTATTCCACCCATTAGAATGGGCAAGCAATGTTAAAAGGTGACACACAGAGGACCTGCTAGCATACATTACTGATTGCAACTAGACATGACAAAAGAGGGACACACTGTCCCTATCTTGATTTGAAGGGAGTCATTCTTTTCAGAGTGCAAAGAGACCTTTCTCATGCCAAATGTTTACCCGCAAGGCATCCACCATCTCCAGCTTTCTCTTCAGCAGTTACCCTCCCCAAGGAACTCCCTTGCAAGCTTGGTCCCATTTCCTTTTCCCTAAACCTACCTTCCAACAGCATTGATTGGAGGGTGCAAGGAAGGGGACTGCTCCTCTAGGACTTCATTTGACCCGAAACCCATAGTAACAGGAAGTTGTCAATGCAACGGGGGATTTTGGAATTGCAGTTTGCTAGGATTTCAGGGTCGCTACAAAAGCAGTAGCTCAAAATAAGCCCGGTCTTATTTATGAGCTGAGCCAAAATTTAAGGAGGCTTTGTCTCGTATCATAAAAAGCTTGTTGTTTCCAAACAGCTCTCCCACTTCCAAAACTAGGCAACATAACCAATCATAAGAAAGGTTGTTTTCTGCTGCTCCAGAGAAGCGGACACGGAGCAATGGATTCAAACTACAAGAAAGAAGATTCCACCTAAACATTAGGAAGAACTTCCTGACAGTAAGAGCTGTTCGACAGTGGAATTTGCTGCCAAGGAGTGTGGTGGAGTCTCCTTCTTTGGAGGTCTTTAAGCAGAGGCTTGACAACCATATGTCAGGAGTGCTCTGATGGTGTTTCCTGCTTGGCAGGGGGTTGGACTCGATGGCCCTTGTGGTCTCTTCCAACTCTATGATTCTATGATTCTATGATTCTATAACAATTAATGGCCCTCTTTAAAAAGCTATCTAACTTCTTGACCAAGTCAATTCGATAATTTGACACTATGTAAGATAGGAAAAATTACAGAATCAGTAGAGTATCTACAAATATATCAATTATTAAAATATTTTTGTTTATCCTTTCTGATTAATGCTTGTACAAAGTATGAAAATGAGAGCAAGAAAATGCTTTACTAGATAATAAGTCCAGGCAGCATGAATCTAAAATGTATATGTGCCTTACAATTCTTGAATCTCTGACTATGGTACCTTGTTCCATTAATAATTCTGTACAAATACTTTTAATGTGGCAGTTAATGCTCAACATTGGCATGAACATAAATGATATTTACTTAAGCTTCTCAGTGTTTTGGTTTGACATATTTTTGAAATAACAAAATCACAGGCATGCATGAAGATGAGTTGGAGTCGATGTTTGAAAACCACACTCATCCAAATTTTTGTGCCCCTTTAAAGCAAATTTCAACACACACAAGTAGCATTCTTTTCTATTTCAACAAAAGCATGCAAACTTACATGCTTTATACAAGGCCAGACCACAGTTCAGTGGTAGTCCAAATGCTCTCAATTCCAAATACTTTCAGTTCCACAAGTATCTCCAATTTGAAGGGGGGAGGGACTGGAAAACCTCTACTAGCCAGAGAGCAGACATCATTGAAGGGGATGGAGAAGTGGTCTCACTCAGTATAAGGCAAATTTATACATTTTTATGCTACCCATCAGACAAAGAGAATAAATCATATTTCTTCAATATCTTTCAAGAGGATTTTTCTTCTTGAAATTATCTTACCTGCCCAAGTCTTCTTTTCTCTGTGCTAAGTCTTTGTGGATTATGCAATGTGTAGACTGGAGTATATTGCACAAAACCTGAGCTACAAATTCCATACTCATCTTCTGTTTCCTACAGAATAAAATTAAGATTGAAAAATCTTTATGCATTTACTATATGTGCAACATTTAAAGCGTCAAACAGAATTTCAGACAGTTTTACTCTGTATTCCAAAGGACACAGTTAATCACTAAAACCATTTATTTATTACAGAGACTAACAAACAGCGATATTTCTTTAAGAGTTTAATATCTCTGTTTTGTTAGTCACTGCATACACACACATATATGGTACTAAATCACTTTTGCTAAAACAGATGGGGGGAAAGATGTCATAAAAACTGTCACCAAAATTAACTTAAACTTCATAGCAAGATGTTTAAGCTGCCAAATAACTTTTAAATAGTGTGAAGCTTTCATGAAGAACAATTAACAACCAATTCATGTAATCAGCCTTCACGCTTGAAGGAGAAGAGAAATAATATTAAAAGTACTCGCTATACAATTAAATATTGCAGGCAAACAAATAAAAATTTAAAACGAACAAACAATGCCTTGACGACATGCCTCCAATACATTTATATTGCTGCTCTTGAAAGTTAAGGGATTTCAGCATGCTAAAATACTGCCACCATTTACAGATCTCATGAAAGTTAGACAACTACACCTTCTGAATTACATTTCTCTGGTAAAACTGGCTTGCCTTAAATTCTCAGCTTGAAGCAAAGGCTTCAATTGTGATATCAAAGCAATCAGCTTTATGAAAACATACATCCTGTTAATGTATCTTTGAAGACCTCTGTTTTTCCATGATAAATATGCAAACAATAAAGAGATTATTCGAGTGGATGCATAAAATGACAGATAGTTGCCAGAGGGCTTGTTATAAAAAATGTATTGTTGAACAAAGGGCTAAGCATATTTCAAAAGTCATTAAAAACACAAATCTTGTGGGATTTGTAAGGTATGTGCTTCAAACTGAAGCAAGAAACAAGGTAAGAAAGTACAAATTCTGTTACATACCTTGTGTTTTAACTTACTTCTCACCTCCTTTATCCCCTGTTTTGCATGATTTTTTGCCTAGGAAAGAAAAGAAAAAAGAACTTAATGGCTTTGCAAAACAATGGTTTGAAGAGTGCTGCATATGAGGTGAAATTTAATTAAAAATTAAATATCTCACATTATGTGGTATAATGAAAGGAAATTACTTCCTTGCTAATTTCACACATGATTGTTAATAAGGTTTGAGTGCATTAAAAATTGTATCTCAGCATATGTATATCTGGGTTACCAAAAAGAAAAAAACAACTGCCACTAATTAAATGATATTTCTTTAATAGTTATTTTGTGCATAATGGTATATTTGGAGAAAGACCTAGTTCAACCACTTGTTGAATAGTGAAAAAGTTATGGCAATGGAGTTCCAGTTGTGTCGTTTTATGCAGCGATGTGGCTAACTGTGGCATCTTTGAGTTGACACCATTATTAGGTTTACATTTTGTTGCACCAAAAATATCAGTCAAGTTTCATTCCACTATGTGATATCAGCTTGCATAAAAATGAATCTTAGAACTTCCCTTAATTTAGAGATGCAATAACCTCACACAACTTAATCAACTATGAACCCCAAAATTTGTGATCACCTCCAAACTGGTGCTAAAGTTTTGCAGTTGTTTTGCAGCATTTTCTGGTGAATCCTCCGTGTTTTGCAGTGCCCCATGAACTGAGTAATTAATACATCAAACCGGGATTCATAATTAACACTAGAAAAATCCAGCGTTGTCTGAATTGCTTCAAACCACACACACCCATTGCATAAAAGGTAGTGGATGTTTTCTTAAAGAAAAGGTTAAGTTTTAAGAGAGCAAGGGGAGCTCCAACCGCCAGTGTGGTGTAGTGGTTAAGAGCGGTGGATTTGTAATCTGGTGAACCGGGTTCGCTTCCCCGCTCCTCCACATGCAGCTGCTGGGTGACCTTGGGCTAGTCACACTTCTCTGAAGTCTCTCAGCCTCACTCACCTCACAGAGTGTTTGTTGTGGGGGAGGAAGGGAAAGGAGAATGTTAGCTGCTTTGAGACTCCTTCGGGTAGTGATAAAGCGGGATATCAAATCCAAACTCTTCTTCTTCTTCACCCATTTGGATGCAGCTTAGCTATTGGAATTCCTAAAGCAGAATTCCTACAATGATTAGTGGCTTTCCACACACATATAGCTGTCGGGCAAAACAGAAGTCAACCGGGGGCAACTAACTCTAAATTATGATGGGGACTGTCACTCACAATTTCAAGGATCTGGGGAGAAAAATGGGCCTCACAACACACACAATAAAACTGGTAACTGAGACTGAATTTAAATATATGTGTGCATTTGGATGGTCCCTCTGCACTGCTCTGCTTGCAAGTGACAACACAGTCAAATGTCTCCAAATGCCTATTTGAAAGCATTGCAACACAGAAAAGCAGTATCCATACTCTGATATACATTTGAGCGATCTTTTCAGACTGATCCAGACAAGTCTGAAAAGTTGAGTTTGGGTATAGGAAGGAGTAGCATCATGACACAGCACCTTGGGGTAGCAATGGGTCACCAACGCTTTGCTGCAACACAGCAGTGATGTCTGGGTTTCCCAGTGGCAATATATGGTGAGCTGCCTTTTTAATTTCCCTCAATGCTACAGAGTGATGCTAGGTCAGGGCATTGTGGGAAATTCAGATGGTCACTGCCATAGCCACCATCAGCTGAGCCCCAAGGGGGCCACAACAACATAGGAGGGACCCAGCAGTGGGCACATTCAGCACTAACAGATGAAAAGATATAATTGGCAAAATAGAGGGAGGAAAATCTAGTGGGGAAAAAAGAGAAGGGTAATTTTCAGACAACCTGTTAATGAGCTGCGTGTAAATTATAAATGAGCACATGAATCCACAGTGCTTTTAATGTATTTACCTGGATTATTTTTCTTCATATGTTCGGTATGATTTTGAATTGATGTACAATTAAAAATTCTCTTTTAAAAAAGAGATTAAGGAACTGATTTATTTATTGATGACTGGAGCCTCAAAGGAAGGCTGTGATTTGGAATAATAGTTTTCAGGCAAGGAAGGCTGTCCTTTGCCTCTGTGTTTGGCATTTAACCTTCCTGTTCCTTCACACGCAGAGCGTTCCCAACCTGAAGATAATCCCTATGTAGAGGGAAGGGTTACTAAACTTGCAATGTTGCTGTGAAGCCAAGTGTGTGTACTTGTGGCAAAATGTCAGGTGCTGTGGCATGAATACTTGCAGCAAGCCAGCCAGCTACTTGGGGGAAAGGGTGTCTTGACTGCTACAAAGTCTAGTCAAGAAGAGGTAATTCTCAAACCACTCATTCCAATTGAGTCTCAGTAAAGAAAAGCCGTTAAGACCATATGGGATTACACCTCAGAGGCATCCATTTTTCTGACCAACTGAGTTAAGTTTCACATTATATATACCATATTTTTCGCTCTATAACACGCACCCGACCATAACACGCACGTAGTTTTTAGAGGAGGAAAATCCGTAGGCATGCCACCCGTAGGCATTCCCTCCATAACACGCACAGACATTTCCCCTTACTTTTTAGGAGGAAAAAAGTGAGTGTTATGGTGCAAAAAATACGGTAATTAAACTGGGCTTATGCTGTAGGTACGAATGCCAAAAAGTACTGATAATTTTGCTTGGGGAAAGGGTGGTTGCCAGTAAAATGGCTAAAGCTGTTATGACGCAGTAACAAGTAACCTCAGCAAAGGCTCTGGAAAATACATTACTTTTTTTCAATGTAAAAGATTAATATGCCTAGGAATGATGATGCAAATTTTGCAGAGAAGCTCTAAAACCGGTGCCCTGAAACTCTTGTTTTAGTCCCACATCCATTTGCCCTGCTGCTTTCCCCCAGCAAAACCTGAATCGGAACAAACAGCAATCTGGGTTTCTGCGGATGGCTGTTTGTTCCGATTTAGTGCTAAAGAGTGGTTTTTCTGGAGGAAAGTGGCGGGACAAAAGCAAAACTGCTCAGGCCCATCCCTAGAAAGCACAGGACAAGTGGAAAACAAGTAGAAGTGTGGATGAGCCCTAAGCCAATGACATATAACCCCAATATCTTAACAATCCACAAATTGATGAAGAAACTCTAGAAATATCATAACTAGACACTGGAAGGACCTTTCAGGAGTGAACATAGGCCACTGGTACCAAAATGTATGGGTAGTCACTGTTGGAATTCTGCCTGGGTCAGAGGGATGTGCCACAGCGTAGGCACCGGCAGATATTCCTGTCGACCTCCCCGCGTCTCCACTCTGCTGATAAGCAGGCGAGGTCCCGGCGATTCTTCTCAGATGTGTGAGAGGAACACACCGTTCTTCCTCTCTCCCCTTTGGTGTCCCCCAGGGAGGGGAAAGAAGCAGACAGAAAACTATTTACATCCTTTATTTCTGCCTCTTATATCAGTACAGAGAAACATGTCTGCACTCAACAACAGCAAGAAGAAACTCCACCCATGTACTTCCAGTACGGGTCATATGACACACACACTGAGCTAACATCCGGTGCTCAGTACAGAATGGACTGCCCCTTTGTTCCCATGGCAACAGTCACAAACATCCTGTCTGGCTTTCCAGCCACAAGCAGCAGACTGAGCTGCTGGAGCCTTTGCTTGCTGCAGCATTGGTGCTTTATGGTAACATACTCCCCCTAAAGTATCAATGCGTGCTGCGAGCAAAGCGTCATCCAGAGAAGAAAACAAACAGTTGTTATACTTATAACATTCCCCTGTTGTTTCAGTTCCACCCTTGGAACTACCCGCCACTGGTTTAACCAATGTACCTCTCTGGTTGTGTGACTTCGCATTACCTTGGTTAACAACTCTCTGTTGTGCCTTTGTCTCTGACTCAGACACAGCTTCAATCTGTCCTTGGTCATTTACAACAGCAACATATGCTAGGTTAGCAAACTCCTTTGAATACCTCTTGGGTGGTACACCCTTCGTTGCTCTCTCAGACCTACGTAAGAATTGCTTCTCTTCTCTGCTTTCTGGTTCAGCCTCTGAACTCTCTGGAGAACCAGTACTAAGCTTAATCAGTGGTTCATCCTCCTCTTCTGAGGGTCTAGTCATTATTTGAGATTTCCTCTCAATGACTGTGACAACTGAGCTGTCTGAGCTATCGCTGTCATCGTCAGTACTACTGAACTCAATAAGATCAAACTCATCATCATCATCATCAGAATCATCTGTGGGAAAAGTGTGAACTATCATTCTCTCCTGTTCAGGAGCACTCTCTAGAAATTTTGTGAGAATCACCTGACCAGATTCAGACAAAATTACTCTGTAGAGACCTTTTTCATATCCCACAAAAATGCCTCTGGCATTCTTTACTCCACCTGGAGTTTCTGTTCTCACATGAGACCCGAAAACCTTAAAATAGGCAACAGAAGGTTTTCTATTAAACAGCTTCTCAAAAGGAGAACATCCCAACTCTGTTGAGACTTTTCTCAACCACACGTGAAGATAGGACGCTAGTGACTCGGCCCAATATTCATGTGGTAAATGTGAACTCAGCAATTGTGCATGCATTCCCTTTTGCAATTCTTTGTTCACCCTAACACAGACACATTTCTTCCATGCTTCTTCGGAACTAGCAAGTTTGTGTCTTATCCCTTTCTCCTGCAGGAACCTCTGGAAATCCTGTAAAAGAAAAACTGGCTTGTCATCTGTGAAAAGACAATCAATGTTAGCATCATGCATACTTTTAACCTTGTCACAAAACTCTTTAAACCTTTCTAAGGTTTCTTTTGGTTTCTCCATCAAATAAACCCAAGAATAATTAGTGAAACAATCAACACACACAAGGTAATATTTTGCACCGCCTCTAGATGGTTCTAGAGGACCAATCACATCAGCATACACCCGCTGAAAAGCTCTGTCGACCTTGCTGGTCACCTTCCTGGTGCTCACACTGGTCACACCTCTTTGTTGGTCAGATCTGCAAGAGAAATTTCGTTAGAATCAGAAGTATTACATTTCATGTAATCACTTTGATCAAAAGTCAACAAATACAGTCCATCTTTCTCTTTGGCAGTAAGAAACAGTTCTCCATCTTTGTAGATCTTGCATCTTTTAGCATCATAGTACAGTTTTAGTCCCTTCTTTGCAATCTGCGAAGCACTCAGCAGACTAAACTTCAGTTCTGGAACCAGGTAAACATCGCTTATAGTCAAGTTCAGACTCTCAAGATACACAGTCCCAATTCCGGTCGCTTCCAGTTCTTGACCGTTGGCTTGTTTCACAGTGAAGCTTTGCTTCTTCAACGTCGAAAACAGTTGTCTGTGTGGGCAGAGATGCTTCGTGGCACCCGTGTCGATTATGAAAGCGTTCCCAACATCTGGCGTGGTTCCTTTCGCCATCATAGCCTTTGCAGGTTTGACCTGGCACTTGGTACGGCTTTCGCTTGACGCCTCAGGCTTCGTAGAGCTGTTCTTGGCTCCTTTTGACTGTCGCGGCTTCCTACAGTTCCGCTGTAGATGCCCAGTCTGTCCACAATTGTGGCATCGGACAGCACTCAATGCTACTCCATGCTCTCCAGTAGATTCAGCAGTGGGAAGATTTGAACTCTGTTCTTTCCTCCCCCTGTCCTTCACTTCCAGTGCAGCAAGTCTGTCGTGTTCATTCAGGACCACCGCACAGACCCTCTCCGCAGTCAGGTCTTGAGCCGGTAGCGAACCAAGCTGACTGGCAACAACCTTGTAAGTCCGGTTCAGGCTGTTTATCATCATGAAGCAAAACACTTCCTCCTGTAGACGGAAATTGCGTTCCACCATCTGTTGACGCAGAAACTTCATTTCCGTCAGGTGCGCTTGAACATCTCCATCAGGCGCTAATCTCAGATTGGTCAACTTCTCAAAATACAGCAACGCTGAAGAACCGGCATCTCTCTGATGCGTTGTACGCAGCGTATCCCAAACCTCTTTCGCATTTTCTAAATGCTGGATATGCACCAATTGATCATCTGAGACGCACAGAATTATAGCAGTCCTAGCCTTCACATTCTGTGACTCCCAAGCACGCGTTGGTGCTGCAGGGATGGGGTTCTCAATCACCCCAAACAGTCTCTGATTCTGCAGCAGGGCCTTCATCTTTATAGACCAAGATGCATAATTGTCATTGGTCAGGAGGGGTGGAGAAGGCAAGCCTCCCCCCTTCTTAGCATCCATTTTGAGTCCTTGCATTGACTCTGAAACACAAGCCTCTAAAATCCAATAGCTGGCTTGTTTACACTCTTGACACCTGGCAGCTCTGACACTGGCTGCGTTGGAAAGTCCCTTCCATCAGTTCGTGAGGGCCTAGTCATAACAAAACTTTGTTTTCGCCTCTCTGAGGCATAGACTGACTGTCCAGCCCTCTCGAGTAACTTTCCAGTCCTCCTTCACTGAAGGACGTTGCTTAGCAACAGCGCATATTTCTCCTCGGACAGGAAACCACAAGAATGCCTGGAATGCAGGCCTCTTCTAAGTTGGAGCTGCTTTCCCACACACGCTCTCCGTGAAGCAGAGAATGAATCAATCTGCATTCACACTTTTAAGCCCTTAGAAATCTCATACCTTGGGCATCGGCTTGGCTGTCAGCTTCTTCTGGTCAGCTTCTGGCTGCAGAGGATCAGCCTCTCCCATTAGGCTTCCATGGAGCAGAGGAGGACAATGCACCAGCCTCTCATGCAGATGTCCGATGAATCGCAACCATCCGAAGGCTGCCACTGTTGGAATTCTGCCTGGGTCAGAGGGATGTGCCACAGCGTAGGCACCGGCAGATATTCCTGTCGACCTCCCCGCGTCTCCACTCTGCTGATAAGCAGGCGAGGTCCCGGCGATTCTTCTCAGATGTGTGAGAGGAACACACCGTTCTTCCTCTCTCCCCTTTGGTGTCCCCCAGGGAGGGGAAAGAAGCAGACAGAAAACTATTTACATCCTTTATTTCTGCCTCTTATATCAGTACAGAGAAACATGTCTGCACTCAACAACAGCAAGAAGAAACTCCACCCATGTACTTCCAGTACGGGTCATATGACACACACACTGAGCTAACATCCGGTGCTCAGTACAGAATGGACTGCCCCTTTGTTCCCATGGCAACAGTCACAAACATCCTGTCTGGCTTTCCAGCCACAAGCAGCAGACTGAGCTGCTGGAGCCTTTGCTTGCTGCAGCATTGGTGCTTTATGGTAACAGTCACCCTACTGGAAAAGTTAACCAACCAACTTAAACTAGCATGGGGACAAGCAAAGGAGGATGCCGTCACCCCAGTGTGGCTCCCCGTAATCACATATACAGCACAACAAGACAATGACCTATCCCTGCAACAGCATACAAATCAATATGGCTAAACTGACCCAACAACCCTGGCCCCCATACACACACAAAAAAAACCCATACTGCAACCAAAGGAACGTTGGGCCAAGCTGTGGACCCTCCTATCTCTCACAATGCCTATATATATATATATATATATATATATATATATATATGACCTACCCACATGGCGCTGGCACAAAGCACTGCACAAACACTATGCAATAGATGGAATTTCGTAATCCCTACGGCCTTTTCCCCCAACCGCACAATGTCTATGACAGTAGTGTATCATCACAAATGTAAGGTAAAGGTAAAGGGACTGGACCATTAGGTCCAGTCACGGATGACTGTGGGGTTGCGGCGCTCATCTCGCTTTATTGGCCGAGGGAGCCAGCGTACAGCTTCCAGGTCATGTGGCCAGCATGACTAAGCCACTTCTGGCAAACCAAAGCAGCGCACAGAAACGCTGTTTACCTTCCCGCCACAGCAGTACCTATTTATCTACTTGCAGTTTGATGTGCTTTCGAACTGCTAGGTTGGCAGGAGTAAGCCTACAGCACCTGGTATTCCCAGGCGGTCTCCCATCCAAGTATCAACCAGGCCTGACCCTGATTAGCTTCCGAGATCAGAAGAGATCAGGTGTGTTCAGGGTAGTAAACCAATCGTGAAAAAGACTATGAATTGAAAGTGGAGACACTATATGTACTTGTTTATTTGCTTGTTTTGTAACACAAGAAAATCTTTAATAAAAACTAAGTTTAAAAAATCGATGGGGGAATTGACTTCCCTTTCCATCTTTATCTAGAAATGTGATGATGTGGAATTCGCTGCAGTGCTGAAGAAAAAAATATTAGTAAGAGACAGGTGCTCATCCGAAAGTGAGTGCTGGGGTGCAGTACTTAGATGGAGATGAAGGCCTGTGTAAAGAAAGTTCACAGCCAGAAAGGTGGTGTTGGAGAAATTGAATTAGTACTATATGGAGAAAATCACTCACAAGGATGGAGGGAGAGGTTGGAATTTTAGACCAAAACACTGGGTACAGGGAAGAAAGGGCTGAGTTTCCCTGCTGTGTTGCCAAGCTGCTTTACCAAGCTGAAATTGTGTTGTGTTTGAGTGAAATGAATTTCCCCTCTACAGTGGTACCTTGGTTCTCAAACACCTTGGTACTCAAACACCTTGGTTCCCAAATGCCGAAAACCTGAAAGTAACTGTTCCGGTTTTCAAACGTTTTTCGGAAGCCAAACGTCCAATGAGGCTGTCAGCTATTCTTTCTGGGGCGCCTGCACCCATCAGAAGCTGAGCCTTAGTTTTTGAACATTTCGGAAGTCAAACGGACTTCCGGAACGGACTAAGTTTGGCACTTTTGTTTTTGCTATTTATTTTGCGCTTTTGTTTTTGAGGCTTTTTGGTTAATTTGTTTTTGTGACTATTGATTGATTGATTGATTGATTGATTATGTGACTGCAGAAATGGATAAAAGCCCCCCATCCAAACGATGACTATCATCAGTGCAGGTAAGAAAAAATAATAATTTTAATTTTTATCATCTACAGTACTGTCTTATTTGTTTTATAGTACAGTACATTGATTATTGCTTTCATTTTATGGATCTATGGTCTCGTTAGATAGTAAAATTCATGTTAAACTGCTGTTTTAGGGGTTGTTTTTAAAAGTCTGGAATGGATTAATCCGTTTTACATTGCTTTCTATGGGAAAGAGCACCTTGGTTTTGGGATGCTATGGTTTTGGAACGGACTTCCAGAACGGGTTAAGTTTGAGAACCAAGGTACCAGTGTATACCTGGCAAAAATGGCCTTCAGTTTGGATAGTGAGCAGTGAGTATGATGTGCAGGCAAACTCCAGCATACTAGGAAGCCTGGAAATTGGTGGAACTCTAAATTAGTCCTCTTCTCTGCTTGCAGTCTACTCTATTATTCCTTTCCCTTTCTAAGCAAGGAACTAGGTTGGGTCCTGCATCACGGTAAAATGAGAAAATACTATCTGCATCCTGGAGTTAAGCTTGGCAAGAAGAACAGGAGGACTGGGGGAGTTATGGTCCTGTTCTTGCCAACCCTAGTTCCTGGAAGCTGTAATAGCTGTTCTGGAAATAAATTCATTTTTTAAATTTTTTTTTGCAGTAATTTAGATTAGAATAGGACATGCAGTTTGCAGAAAAATGAAACAGAACAGGGCTAGAGCTTACATATTGGTATGCTGTTTTCATAGCTGGGCTGGCTCGGGTCATAGCTGTGTTGATCAGGGCTCCTCCTTTCTGAAATATACAATGCATAAATATTCTGAAATACACAAAACACACATTGATCACCTTCCCAGCATAATTAAAGGTTAAGGTTTTGCAAAGCAAAAATAAAATTCAATGGCCTCACCACTGCCATTGTCACTCCCCGATATCCCTCTCAGAAGATTTATACAGCTGCATTTCGTCAGCCTTTGTCTGCTACAGCCCAAGCATTATAATATGTCATCCCTATGGCTGACACATTTATCAATGCTTTTTAATGTAACCATATAGGGCACAATCTACCAGGAAGTTCTCCTTCATAAGCTCTGATTGTATAAACAGAAGTTGTGTGAGAGAGGCTTGCACAGAAGTTCATTGTGCATATGCTTCCATATCTATTGTACAAATTCCTAGACATCTTCCTGTAATTTGCTAAATGAGAATACTACATTATAGCAATAGATGGAAGCCATGGGCACATTTTAAATACATTGACACACTTCCTTACCTTAACTGTATACATCCACTGGTGATATGATCTAGAATTTCCTAAAACACAAATGAGAGAGAAACCAGAAAGGTAGGATTCCTTTAAAATTTTGTTTGTTCAAAAACACATAATATTCTTTACATATTTACATGCAGTCTCAACTTTCTATGGAATGTAAAAGACTGAAACCTCACTGAACATCAACATGAAGTATTCTGCGTTATTACAAAACAAAACAAAAAGATGTGTTGGTTTTCCGGAGAATGCCCATACCAAATATGAAGAAAACTGAATAAAATTGCAGGAATTTGTATTAGAATATTAGTTTCATACAGTGGAAATAAGGAGTAATATATTAGAGTATTAAATGACATTTTTCTTTTCCTTTGCTGTCTACAGTAGCTACTGCCTTGTAGGTGAGGAAAATTAGGCAAATGGGAGAACTACAAACAGATACACGTTTACTGGGCACTATTACTCTATTAAATTGCTCACAACGGTCAAGTTAAAATTTGACTGCTTGAAAGAGGAAGCTTTCCTTTTACTTAGCAGCACAAGCAAGACTCGTGAGTTTGGTTTTTAGAGAATATTAAGAGAGAACAGATTGTTGATTTTGAGACAATGGGAGAGGCAATGACAATTGCTGCAATGGAAACTTCCAATCCAATAAACGGAGCTAAAAAGAAAGAGAATGTGAAGGGTTTCCCAAGCTACATATGGATTTTACAACAGTGCTTCAAAAGCCTCTTAAACTCAATAATAAACCTAACAGCTAGAGGCGGAGTGAAATTCTGTTTACTTTGCACATTGGGGTAAAGCCAAAAAAACACCTCACCTCTTATAAACCACTTCTGCAAACTACACACGATGGTGGCAGAACCACGTCTTCCAAAATGCACGTTCCTGTCAAACAAACACCTGTATAGCAGGCGGGAGCAAATTCTAGTGAAGAAATGGGAAGGGACTCTCAATGATGAGAGTGCACGTCTGACAATGAAAAAAGGTGTCAGGCTCAAGCCCTGGTTTAAAGGATGAGGTAGCAGGTAGGGAGAAACAGCTCCGCCATTAGAGTCTGGAGAGCTGAAGTCAGGCAGAATAGACAATACTGGTATATAAGGCAGCTTCCTAGGTTTTCTGCATGGCAGGTGGTTGCGAAATCCAGGTTGTTTTTCCTTTCTGTACTCAGAGCTCAGGTGGGACAAAAACGGCTAGGATACATGGGTTGCATGAGGAAGAGCAATGGGAACCTCCTCTCCCCTCCAGTTTTGGAAGAAGTCATTTTGCTGTTTTGCATTTTGAGGAACATGGAATCCATTTTGTATATCGATTTATCTGTTTAGTGAAATAATGAGAACTCTCTACAGCTGCCTGGTGCCATCCAGCTGTTTCTGACTACACCTCTCACAACCTCAGTCATGGTCACTGGGTACCATGTTGGTGAAGGTCAACAACATGTTGAAAACCAATTTTAAAAACCACCATTATTTCTTTCATAACCATCTATGCCCTTTTAAATGGGGGAAGGGGTGTTATTGTTTTTGTTCGTTACTATGGTATGTATTTCTGTGTTTTTACATTGTAAACCGCCTTGTGGTTCTTGGATGAAGGGTGGTATAGAAATTTTAACAACAACAACGATAATTTCAACGCAACAAGAATGAAAAGACCCAAACAGTATGGACAAAAATCTATACCTCCACCAAAGCCACCCGAAGAGATTTCTTCTTCAAACACATCAGAAAACCCTTTTCCTGCGTTTAGCTTTGCAAGTCGACCTTCAATGAACTGCAAAAAGAAAAAAGTGGATGAAAGCAATTACATCTTTGTTGAAGGTTCACGTTTCAAATCTTCTGTTTAATTCTTATTTGTTCACAGCCCTACAGAAAGCGCCAGAGTTACAGAAGGAGCCCCATTATTGTCAGCTAATTCTCTGATGATGCTCCTGAGAGGATTCCACAGGCTGCCAATCTGCTAATGGGCCATATCTACGGTGCTAGCAATTATATAAAAAAGTTCAAAGCAACCTGGACCCTAAATGTTTGAATTAGCATCTCCGCCCATACGAATCTAACCATGTGTTAAGATCGGCTGCTGAAATCGTCTTGGCTGTCCTGCATCCAAGGAGCACTGTCTGATCCCTGCTTGATCACTGGCACCTTTGGGAGAGTCACTGCTAGTGTCCCTTCATGGCTCAGATGTGTGGCATGCATCCATAAGAAGCCATGCATTCAGTATCAAGGGCCCGGTTTTGTGAAACTCCCTACCAGGTGAGGTCAGACAGGCCCCCTTCCTGCTGAACGCCTGGTGCTTTTGTTCCAGGCAGCCTTTTAATTTGAAATCTGATTTTATCACATCGGTCCTGAAAGACCTACATTGGCTCCCAGTACGTCTCCGAGGACAATTTGAAGTGTTGGTGCTGACCTTTAAAGCCCTAAAAGGACTCGGCCCTGTATACCTGAAGGAGCATCTCCACTCCCATCGTTCAGACTGGACACTGAGATCCAGCACCGAGGGCCTTCTGGCTGTTCCCACACTGCGAGAAGTGAATCCATAGGGAACCAGGCAGAGGGCCTTCTCGGTAGTGGCACCCACCCTGTGGAACACCCTCCCATCAGATGTCAAGGAGATATAACCTTTAGAAGACATCTGAAGGCTGCCCTTTATAGGGAAGCTTTTTAAGGTTTAAGGTTTTAATATGTTTTTATATAGGTTAGAAGCCGCCCAGAGTGGCTGGGGCAATCCAGTCAGATGGGTGGGGTACAAATAATAAAATTGTTGTTGTTTTAACTCGTTTTTAGTTTTATTGTACTGGTTTTCTTGTACACAGCCTAGAGATAACTTTGATTAAGCAGCAAACAAATTGTTGACATCAATGAAATAATGATGAATCTGCTTTGCAACAACTAGAGAAAGAACTTACTCTGTTGTGGCACCCAATTATGGAACACCTTCCCACTTGATGCATGGTTGGTGCCAATGCTGATGTTTGATGAATGTAGTTGAGAAGCCAAACAAATTGAGTGTGGCTTAACATGTTAACAAAGTAGCAGCAGGAGGAGGACATGGAGATATTGAGTGACATTATTATTATTATTATTAATCATCATCATCATCATTAGTATACTGCCCTTCATCTGAAGATCTCAGGGCAGTTCTTAAAGGAACAAATGCAAAATAATAATATAAAATACATAATAAAACAAAAACAAACGAGTAGCGCCCCCTCTCAGAAGACTTGGACTCTCATCTCCCTGTGAAGAAATGTGAGAGTTCCACACACACACAGCTGGAATTTACAGATGTGGGAGACATTTCCATGTGTTACACAAGAGAGCAGTGAGAGTAATATGCACATATTCTACAGGGCCTAATTTGCAAATTTTGATTCTTTCCCAGGGTACCTCCCTAGTCATTAAATAATGCTATGAATTGTACCGTATTGTACCTGAGCATTTATATTTCATATTGTTTCATGAAGCAAAGTTCATGATTTACTCAACTGAGTAATAGAACTATGCTCCAGTCAGTTTTACAGGATGACTCAAGGAAGAGTCCATTCATTTCCTTAGTATTATTATAGGCCAAGGCCAAGGAGCTGAACCTTCCATAGCACTTTCTCTTCATTAATTTCTTCATATTCAGTTGTATATATACCCACACATGGTCCAAATTTAATTATAGCCACAAAGACTTTGTGACTTACCTTTGTAAAGTTTATTATTTAGGTACATACATTGGCTCATTTTACACCATAGTTTGAAGGACTGGGAACATGCCAGAGGTTTATACCGTCCTTACCGTCCTTTCCCTCACAAGTATTCTCCCTTCTCTTTCCTGGTTTGCTTAACTATCTTTTTTCCCAATGCTAAAATCAGACAAACTATGGTTAATGCTAACCATGCTAACCCACTTGTTTTCAAATCACGCTTTGGAGACAGTTGCCATTTGGACCTCATGGCTCTATCTGATTAGAACAAACTAGGAAACAGAATAAGAAATCAGCATGTGAGACTAAGACATGCCTGTAATTCACCAAACCATGGAAAATGCTAATCTGAGCCACAGAGAAATTTAGAATCTGCCTATACACAGACGCATGGTGTGAAGTAACCCCAGATTAAGAACACAAGATCAAGAATTGTTCACAATGGTAAGCAACTTAATAAAAGAAACTACAATGTTTTGTTAAAAGCTTTAATTTGCCTTAAAGGATTAATAAAAACAAAGAGTCTTCCCCCACTCTTCAAAAGCACTGACATTTTTAGAATGCTTTCAAGCAGTAATCTATTTTGGTCAGGGTTAGGTGGTAGCCCAAGTATGAGATAAACGGAGAAAGCATTTGACTGATTGCGCATTTTTCAACATGAATTACTACCGAATTGCTGTTAACCGAAACAGTACACAGGAGCCAATAGAAATTAATTATTTGGCTGACTGTCATACACTATCACAGATTATCCAAACAGACCCGTCAGTGACAATCTGATGCTTGTCAATGGATAGACTGATGACATGAAACAAACTGTTCCACGAGTACATTTTTTAAAAAAGAAGAAGATAAACGCAGACACAGCAGTAGCAAAGTACACACTATCACTGGTGATTATTTCCTCTTCTCCTCAGCTAACTTTTTTTACCCACCCCACTTAAACTGGCTTTTTCCCAAATGGGTTTGGTTCATGGTCAGACCACAGTATGGGACCGCTGGATTGTTTCACAGCAAGAATGAGATAAAGGACCTTTAGCTACTAGGGTGCAGAAAACATCCCTTGAACCACAAGACATTATCTATTCAGGGAAAAGCGAAGAATTCATCCCTCGCTATAAAACCAGCACATGATTTATGGATAGTCTAATCATTAGGTAAAGTTACACAGACACAAACTGAGCTGCTAAGCTTTAGGATTTGGGGGGGGTGGCAGTGGGGAGCTGAAACCTTGCATAGGAGACCATTTTAATACAAATGGGAATTGCACTGAAATGAACAGTGGTTCCACAGAGCAGAATTAGGTGGACTAGATTTTATTTCACCTACAAAATTAACAGTATACTATAAAACAGTGACGGACAACTAGTGATCGAGCTGGATGCGGCTCCCAAAGCAATTTTGGGTGATACCCAATGTTAGTCATGCTCTGTCCATTTATTTCAATGGGTTGCTTTGAATACGACTAGCACTGGATCTCACCCTTCATTTAGTCCCTAGTAGCCCTGGTTTAGGAACAAAAGTCTCACACTGTCATGATTTAATGTTGTGCACACACAATCCTAAAGACTGGTGCAACTGGGAACTATGCTCCATTAGCCATGACATTTTTCTGCTAGGTAGGTATCAACTTTATTATGGAGCTGACCACCTCTGGCCCTGAAGAATGTAGTGGCCTCTAAGATTAAATAAGTGGTCATTGAACCAAGATCTCATTTGCACAAAAATTTCAGAAGGGCTGGAAATGCTGAATGCACTTCTGAATGCTGCAGTAAGTACATGCAAAGAAGTGCAAAAAATAATGTTCTGTTTCGTACAGTATTTACCATCATGGAAAGAGATCTCCCAGTTATCTATTTGCCAAATTACATGCAAGACTGACTTCCCGATTCCAAATTACATCAAGATGCTGTCCTTTTTCTCCCCCTAAGGGACCTTTTTTGTGCTAAGATTTAGGATTATGAAGACAAGCTTTGATCTTTCCTTCTTGACCTTTGATTCTTACTTATGATTCCTTTCGTAACAGCTAGCTGCCATCAGCTGTAGCAGCCACGGTTTTCCAAAGCAGCTGTAAGCAACAGTGCAGGAGTTAACACCAAATATGAGATATACTCAAGGCTGGAGCAATTGTGGGTTCATTCGTTCAAGTGTGCTGGTGCCAGCAGTCCCATACCAATCATCGTCAGATTGAAATCATCCCATCTGTGGCCTCTTATTTGCACAACCAAATAATATTGGTGCAATAAGCATCACAAATGTTGCTTAGTAATGTGTATGTGGAAATCTTGAGCATTAGCAGTGATATACCATCATCGTTGTTATAACATAGCTTTGCTCTGTAGCCACGTAAGGTACCCTTCTCGTTCTCTCCCAGTTGCATATCTTCCCTGTTGATTTCCATTTCTAAGTAGGTGGGTTTTGAAGAGGATTACAAGGCAGTGAATGGGAAGCACACGAGTAGTTGCCCCTTTGCGGAGCCACCAATCTAGTCCAAAGTCTTCTATGACCTATTTGTTTTATCGGTGCTATATAACACTGTGTATTCACAGCCCTTATAATCTAGCCTATAAATTTATTATGATTCAACTTTCCCCAAACAGCCAGAGTTAACACATGGATGTGTCTCCCAAAACTACCGTAATAAAACTGCTTTCTCCTATCTACATATTATTCCACTATAGGCATTCGGACTGTTTAAAAGATTTATTTCCTGTTGCAAAGGAAGAATGCTTTGCATTGGATAGAGCAAAGTTTTAAATTGAGCCTTCTTATAACTCAAATAACCTTGAAAGAACTCTTGGATAAGAGGCAGCTGGATGAAGGATAAGGAGGAAGGATGATATCCAAAATAAACTGAAGAAGAGACAATACATTGGCTATAAAAATGAAATAGTTTTATAACATCTTCCTTTGCCTCTTGGAAGATAATATTATTTCTGTTCTACCCAATTAAAAGCTGCACATATTTCACTTATATTGTCGTAAATCTCTACCTCAGCCATTAAATCTCAGACACAAACTTACCATTTTTTTATAGTGAAAGTTGGCTACCACCCTCTGAATTTCACTTATCTATCATGGTAGTATATCTTCAAAGAGCTAGCAGATTAGTAAAACACGGCCTCCCCACCTAAGATTCCTGATGCTTTAATCAGAGATGGCGTTTTCTGCTTTGACCTGTAGCTTGTGCCGCAGTGTTTATCCAGCACTATAAAAATAACCTTTTTGGACTGACCCCTTGGCCATATTTATATTATATTGTCCTCTCCCCATCCAAGCAGTGGATATCTTCATGGCAGCCATTTAAAGATCAGTTTCTTCCAACAAGGGAGGAACAAGTCTTATGACACCTTTCTTAATACTTAATTAGACATTTACAGGCTCAAAAGAAATGGATAGAAAATGGCAGCCAGCACTGGCAAGGATATGTCCAGGGCAGAATTGAAGCACCTCCCTAAGTCCAGCAAGTTAAGAGTATTTCTAGACTGCTTCCATTAAGCCCCCACCTCTCAACATCTAGCTTCAAACCTAGAATTTAGGATTCAGTAGGGAACAACTGAATTTGTTGTAGCAGTGTGGAATAGATCAGAGGCATCTGCTTATAACCTAACCAGAGTTCCTTATTATGTCAGAATGCAGGAAACTCTGATTAGTTTAAAACACGATTTGCAAACGAATCAGGGCCAGAAGCTACAGTTTGATCCTGGCTTGTTTGAACAATGCATAGTTTCGGAACTGTAGTAGATTGACTTGACCTCTTGAATTCTCCTTGCATAATCTCCGGAGTTGCTGATAGAAATGGTCAATAGATATTAAATGCGGGAAACATATTGCACAGATTGCATCTATTCTTCAGTTTTCGTACATGTACAATAGAGGAGAACTAAACTGAGAATCCACTCGCTCTGTACCTGTTTAAAAAGTTGAAGGTTCACTGCAGTTTCCAAAAACTGCTTAAAAGTGCTGGAACGATGCTTGACAAAACTTTCTTCGCAGAAACTGACAGGCTCACCCTAAATTACAAGAAAGGAAATTAGTAAGATATTTATTTGGGAACAGTCAGTGCAGTTCTATTCGACACACACACACACACCCACCACTAATTTTCAGCACTGAAGAATTACATATCCTTCAAGCCATGTGGGCATTTGATGACTCCCAAACAAATGCAGAAGACAAAAATAACAAAAACCTGAAGTTCACATGTAACAAATCTTAATTTACGTTTTACACAGAGAACAAGATTTGAGACCATTCATACCTATGCAAGACTACAAGGTTTTAACTTCATGAAAAACTGAAACTTCTGAAAGGAACTTGGCATGGCCGATAAGTCATTGCAATTCTTATCATAATCTTATTACGCATATAACAGTAAAAAAAAAATCTAATAATTTTTATGCCCCCTTTACCACACTTTACTGCACAATTGAAACTATATTTATTTTCCCCTGTGCAACTTTTTCTTCTTCTGAAAGGCAAGCAGTTTGTTAAAAGCAATATCTATGTATTTTTTTGGCCTGGGGGGAAAATCTTTGAAATGTGGTAAAGAGATATATAAGAGCAGAATGAACGAGACCTCCATGGTTATAAGATTTGCCAAGTATGACCCGGCGGGAGACTTTGAAACCTTTGCTTTCCTGTAATTCTATAATGAACTACAGTGAGCTCCATTTCCCCAATCAAATCCTTCAGTCCTGCAGATTCATTGTGGATTTCCCATACGGCTCCAGTGGCTGCTTAGTTCTCTACTGGGTGCACCTGCATTTATCTGAGTCTGTTTATCCAAAAGATCTGTATAGGCGCCGACATATTTACATGAACAATATTCCATTGAATTCTTGCTGCACAATCCAGTCAAAATTGTGTGCATTTTAACCCCATTGACTTAAATCAGAGATAAAAGCTTATGCCCACATTTCCCTCTGAAATCAGTGGGACTACGCTTACACTTGGATCTTCCTGAAAAGATTCTGTGAGAGTTGTGGGAGTCTCAAAAGAGGTCTGTCATGAGCCACTAAGTGCTTATGCTAGAGAGGGGAAATTATATCCCCCCCCCAAGATGATCTTTATTGAATTTTTAGTTACATACTGTACATAAAGGTAAAGGTACCCCTGCCCGTACGGGCCAGTCTTGACAGACTCTGGGGTTGTGCGCCCATCTCACTCAAGAGGCCGGGGGCCAGCGCTGTCCGGAGACACTTCCGGGTCACGTGGCCAGCGTGACAAAGCTGCATCTGGCGAGCCAGCGCAGCACACAGAACGCCGTTTACCTTCCTGCTGGTAAGCGGTCCCTATTTATCTACTTGCACCCGGGGGTGCTTTCGAACTGCTAGGTTGGCAGGCGCTGGGACCGAGCAGCGGGAGCGCACCCCGCTGCGGGGATTCGAACCGCCGACCTTTCGATCGGCAAGCCCTAGGCGCTGAGGCTTTTACCCACAGCGCCACCCGCGTCCTTCATACTGTACATACACATACATAATATTTCACATTTGTTCTTGCTCTCCCGAGCTGACTTCCCTCCTTCCTTCTTCTGGCTTTTTTGTGTCCTCTTTGACTTTTCGCATTGTCTTTGTCCATTTTCAATAAGATTGTACTTCTTCATTTTTTCCATTAAATGTCCGTAAACAAAAATCTTTCTATATATACAAATTCTTGCTGTCTGTCTATATTCATTTACAAATATTATTCAATAATAGTTCTAATATACATTTTTAATTCATTTTGATATTATTATCCAGTAAATTTCTTGTCTTTTCCCGTTATGAGATATTATTTTAATTCTACTGGTTTCCCTATTTCGCATCATCTTCTCTATATATTACATAAATTTTCCCCATTCTTTTTGATATGTTTCATCCCCCTGATGTCGAATTTTTGCTGTTCATTTGGCTTTTTCTGCGTACTCCATAACCTTGTACTGCCATTCTTCTATTGTAGGCAATTTTTGCTGTTTCCATACCTGAGCCAGCAATAACCTCGCTGCCGTTGTTGTGTATAAGAACGAGAGGGGAAATTCTCAACCCAGCAGTCAGCAGTCTACAATTCCACATGTATATGAAAGTGTTTTGTGCACTGGGCTCTTTGAATTGTAGCCACTTTCTTTTTTATCCGTTTGCCAATGATTCAGATCTCTTCCTGAGATTTCGTGGACGTTATTGTTACTCCAAGAGGCTTCAGAAACAAAAATTAGCAACTGTTGCTAATGCAATTCCCTAGAGTCTTTCTAATGCAATAAATTTCTGCCATTGACTTGTTTGTTCCTTGTGATGCTTCGGTCTAGAACGTAGCCTTTGGAGGAATGCTGTGCTGATACGTAGCGGACGCATGCTCTAATGGTCCTTTTAGTATTGATTTACAACATACTTTCAAAGTAGTTCGATCAAAGCCTAGTAGGGATTCTATACAGAAGAGTAGACTGCTAATACTTGGACCCCCAAAAAATCTATGCCAAACAAGATATCTGTCCTCTTTAACAACAGTTATTGTAGAATTCCATCTCTCCCCAACTCATCTTCATGGACTGGTGGGCACAGCAGGACTGATTCCATTTAAGCTGCATTCACATTTTAAGCAAGCACCTTTAATATCATTGTAAATAACTCTGATGCATTGACTTAAACAGAATAATCATCTTGAGCACAAGAGCTTAACCTACCCAATTTTACTAGAAGGAAAGGGAAATCTGGCCTAGCAGAGGAGATATTCTTGCTTCTAAATATGATAAGCAATATGAACCAGAATTCTTTCCATGCAAAACAAGGCACTTGCTCAGTTTGTAATACATGATTGCTGTCTTTTTGCCTAAGATATTACAAACCGATTTAGAAGTTTCTGTTGTTTAACTAATAGGGTCACTTATTTGTCACCATGGTTCACATAGGGACGCGGGTGGCGCTGTGGGTTCAACCACAGAGCCTAGGACTTGCTGATCAGAAGGTCGGCAGTTTGAATCCCCGTGACGGGGTGAGCTCCCGTTGCTCGGTCCCTGTTCCTGCCAACCTAGCAGTTCGAAAGCACGTCAAAGTGCAAGTAGATAAATAGGTACCACTCCGGTGGGAAGGTAAACGGCGTTTCCGTGCGCTGCTCTGGTTCGCCAGAAGCGGCTTAGTCATGCTGGCCACATGACCCGGAAGCTGTAGGCCGGCTCCCTCGGCCAATAAAGTGAGATGAGCACCGCAACCCCAGAGTTGGCCACAACTGGACGTAATGGTCAGGGGTCCCTTTACCTTTAACCATGGTTCACACAGGATAGATTTAGAAACCTAGGAGTAACATGGTAGCTACGGAAAAGCACAGGATAGAGAAAATGTTTTGCGCTCAGAAAAGACCAGGTTCAATAAGCAGCATCTTCAGGTTCCAGGGCTGGGAAAGACCTCTGACTAAGGTTCTTGAGTGTACAGTCACGGACTAGATGCAGGCACTCTTGGAGGAAACTATATCTTTTCTAGATCCACTTCAATCGGGGTTTAGGCTTGGCTTTGGCACAGAAACTGCTTTAGTTTCCCTATACGCAAAAACATTCTTGTCCCAGGCCTTCGGTCATTTATGGCCTTTTAAACTGTGAGGGAGCAGGTATTTTTTTTTGTTTGTTACCATGTTTTGAATTTTGTGTTTTTTATATTGTAAACTGCCCTGCGACCCTCAGATAAAGCACAGTCCAGAAATTTAACAAACAAATAAAAAACAAATTAGACCCTGGTGAGTGTCTGTCTATCAGAGTAGACAGCAGACAAAGAAGGCACACTCCCCAAAATTCCTGGGAAATTCCTAGCTGGGGGACTGAGACTAGGGAGCAGAAGGGGAAGAGGTCAGTGCCAGTAAGGACTTGGACTAGGTTGAAAATGTGTCGAGTTATTTCCTGATTTTATTCCCTTTTTTTTTTAAATAGCCAGGCTCATTTCAAAACCATGCTGGATACAAGCAGAGAGGCACCGGGAGTCAAATTATTTTAAACTGCACACCTCCCCTGGAAAGAGCTGTTGCTACTGCTTTCCTGAAGCAGTGCTTCTTAGGCTGATCTAGAGGCAAAGAAAAACAGAGTGAAGTTGTGACCCGTGTGATGGGAAAGCTGTCCATTGTGCTTCTTCCACTAGTAGGTCACAAACTACTTTTTCTGCTTTTTCTTTCACTCCTACTCTGAAGGGAGAAGGAAAAGTTAGATTGGGTAGTAGGGGAAGCTGAGGGTAGAGTCCTGTGGGATAGGGGAGGAGGGTTTTAGAATCAGAGCTCTTTTCTGAACTCTATGTAAAAGATAAGAATAGGAGAGTACCGTATTTTTCGCACCATAGGACGCACTTTTTCCCTCCTAAAAAGCAAGGGGAAATGTGTGTGCGTCCTATGGAGCGAATGCAGGCTTTCGCTGAAGCCTGGAGAGTGAGAGGGGTCGGTGCGCACCGACCCCTCTCGCTCTCCAGGCTTCAGGAAGCTATCCGCTAGCCGTGGGAGACCCAGCTCTCCCACCGCTAGCGGAGCGCAGCATTAATCCCAAAGCTTGGGGGTGCGGAGCGCAGCGCGCCCCAAGCTTCTGGGTGCAAGCAGGGTCTCCGCTAGCCCTGGGAGAGCCCCGCGACGTCGCGCGGCTCTCCCAGGGCTAGCGGACCACTGCGCTAATCCCGAAGCTTGGGGCGTGCAGAGCTCAGCGCGCCCCAAGCTTCTGGGTGCCGGCAAGGTCTCGCTAGCCCTGGGAGAGCCCCGCGACGTCGCACGGCTCTCCCAGGGCTAGCGAAGCGCTGCGCTAATCCCGAAGCTTGGGGCGTGCAGAGCTCAGCGCGCCCCAAGCTTCTGGGTGCCGGCAAGGTCTCCGCTAGCCCTGGGAGAGCCCCGCGACGTCGCACGGCTCTCCCAGGGCTAGCGAAGCGCTGCGCTAATCCCGAAGTTTGGGGCGTGCGGAGCACAGCGCGCCCCAAGCTTCTGGGTGCCGGCAAGGTCTCGCTAGCCCTGGGAGAGCCCCGCGACGTCGCACGGCTCTCCCAGGGCTAGCGAAGCGCTGCGCTAATCCCGAAGCTTGGGGCGTGCAGAGCTCAGCGCGCCCCAAGCTTCTGGGTGCCGGCAAGGTCTCCGCTAGCCCTGGGAGAGCCCCGCGACGTCGCGCGGCTCTCCCACGGCTAGCGGACCGCTGCGCTAATCCCGAAGCTTGGGGCGTGCGAGCTCAGCGCGCCCCAAGCTTCTGGGCGCCGGCAAGGTCTCCGCTAGGCTAGCGGAGACCTTGCCGGCGCCCAGAAGCTTGGGGCGCGCTGAGCTCCGCACGCCCCAAGGTTCGGGATTAGCGCTCTGCTAGCCATAGCAGCCTGCTTCCCGGAGCGTCGGGCGCCCTGAAAGCAGAGCTCCAGGCGCTTCGGGAACACATCCGCAGCGTGGGGAGGCTTGCAGGAGTTCCCCACAGGGCTCCCCACGCTGCGGATAGCAGCCTGCTGCCTGGCGGGTGGGGCGCCCTGAAGCAGAGCGCCCCTCGCGCCAGGCAGACATCCGCAGAGTGGGGAGCCTTGCAGGAGTTCCCCACAGGGCTCCCCACGCTGCGGATAGCAGCCTGCTGCCTGGCGGGTGGGGCGCCCTGAAGCAGAGCGCCCCGCGCGCCAGGCAGACATCAGCCAGCCCCACAAGCTCGGGGGACAGCAGGGAGGCGCAGCGCCACTATCCCGCTGTTCCTCGACCTGGTTCGGTTTCCCTGACCTGCTTTTGGGGGGAAAATAAAGGGAAATTTTTTCCCCTTTATTTCCCCCCCAAAAAACTAGGTGCGTCCTATGGTCCGGTGCGTCCAATCGTGCGAAAAATACGGTATGTCATCCTTCCCATTCTTAATTTTCTTTTCTCTGTTTCTCTGTTATAGCAGGCTATGCCAAAAACGATTAAGTCAATGAAAATCTTGCTGTCTAGGTCAAAAGAAGTGGACAAGAGACCACGGCAGAAGTTTGACCACATTTATTATGAACAAAGCTTATTCAGAAAAGGAGAACAGAAAAACTTCTTGATAATTTGTGAAATGGCTCGGGAGAGCGGGAGGGGACATTATGCATGATAAATGTGTACGCCTTCATGATAAAGCATGAAGGGGGGGGGGAAATACCTGAAAGAAATCACCACTCTTAAAAACATGCATCGTTAAAAGATTGTAAGGAACATAAACAGCTAACCTGATTTATATTGCACTTTTAAAAAGTTGGCATTGTTTCAGAAAGCTAGCTAAGAAAAAGATAACTCTGTGAAAAAAGATAGTGGCACCTCTGCAAGAATAAAGGCAACCACACAGAGAAAGGCGGGGGGGGGGCGTATGTTAACATTTTAAACAGAAATGTACCCCCATAACTTTGTTTAAACACTAAGGCTTACTGATTACTGATTTGAAAAATTAGAGAAAGGCTTGAGGTCTGTTTGTCTCTTATTCTTAACTATTAAACATCCTGCAGCATCCTCTCATGTTGATAAATGCAAGCAGAGAACAGTGCAAGAAGAGGCAACTTAAATATTTGGGATAGCAGTACTAAGATTTGCCCTAAGCAGGTCTTAGAAGCCTTTAGACTCAAACTAGAGGAACAACATTACTGGGGGTGTAGGCAGATTATATAGCAGTCTGCTGCAATTTTAGTTAGAAATTTATTCTTCAATTTGTATATACACAATTAACGTACTGTAAAACTCAACCAGATCTATAGTGGAGAGGGGGAGAAAAAAATTCAAGAGTACTTCATGAACCAAAATGTTGGCATATACTAGAAAATGGAAATGGCATGTTCAGTAAAGTGCTGAAATATTTATACATAGAAAATGAATTTATACTTTCACTTCAAAATCACAACGAGTTGTGCAGTACTGGTATAGAACAAAATCCAAAGCTTTCAAGGTATCGGAATTACTATTTACTACTGGAAAAAATATTTGAGAACAAAAATCTTTTTTCAATTGTTCTGTTAATGCCACATTTTACTGCACATCCGCTATTGATCTCGGTGGAAAGATGATTATGTCCCTTGAACTACTTTCATAGTTTTGGACATTTATCCTATTTTTGTCTAAATATAGCTGAACTAGATATCATTTAGCTGGACCCTTCTAAATCTACTCCTCCTAACAAGGTTAGGAAGAAGAGCAGAGCTAATGTTTTGGATACTTCAGGTGCCAAGTTTAATCTTTAGTTCAGAGAAACTCGGATAGCAAGGCTGGGAAAGACCTTTGCTTGGAGCCTTGGAAAATCACAGTAAGTTTGAGTACGATAGTACTGGGTCAGTACTATTTTTTACCCCACGTTCTTCACAGTTACCAATTTTAGAACTACAATAACTTATTTCCTCTGTGCATCAGTTGCTCCCGTGCAAAAACAGAAGCAGTGCTTCTGGCCAATGATGAGGTGCTAGAAAGAATATTTAAAATTATGAAATAGTTAGAAAGCATTAGGTTTTTTTAAAAATGGACAAGCTGTTGGCTGGAAAGCAACATTCTAAGTAAAGAACTTCAGGGCTGTAGAAATATTAGCTTTAGAACAGAGGGGGCTAACCTATGGCTGGCCAGATACTGCTGGACCACAACTCCCACCATCCCCAACTTTTGTCCATGCTCGCTGGGGTTGATAGAAGCTGGAGTCTGACCACATCTGGAGGGCCACTGTTGGCCACCTGCTCTAGGAGAACCTCAGATATTAACCTAACCTACAAATGTACAGCTTTTCAGCAAGATACTAGGATGCAAAGGAGTTGATTCACAGCACTCGATGCCACAGCATTCAGCATAGCAGCCAACTCCTAGGGTCTTTGGCCCCCCAATAAAATAGTTGAGGGGGCTAGCTCCTCCCCCAAGTTGATGGGAATTGCTATTCCAATGGGGAGTGTGAACTGTGTCATGTGATTGATTGGGGGCGGGGGCTTACCTGCTCCCCGCCCCCAATATTTTATTCAAGTTGGCACCCCTGGCATTCAGCAACTTGGGGGAAACTGAGCCTCGGCCACTTCTGGCTGTTTGCAAATCAAAACTTAATTTGCAAACTGGGAGGCAGTATCTGGAAAGTGTGCCCACAGCCCAAAACAATTGCCACTCGCACCCAGACATTTTCCATATACCAACCACACTGGGTCTCTAAAGTGACACATAAATGCTGGGGTATTTGTTGGGTGTTTTGGCCCATGAGCTCACAAAGGCTTTTACCGACAGCTGCTGTAGTCTGCGTTCACTGGACTTTGCCTTTCCACAACCAACCTTTGGACTTGTTTACCTGAAGGGGTGTGTTTTTTTCTAACTCTGGTGAGATGTTTAGCATTCCTCCTCACAGACATTAAGAATATTTGCACTCTTAAGAGTCAATGGGAAATGGATACTTGAACTGCATCGCTTACTGGTTTGTATCTTAGAGCATCTCTGTAGGATCCAAATAACGCTGCTTGTGCCCTCAGGAAGGCCCTGGCTACTCCATCACCGGTAGCTGTGGACTGCTTCTTCAGTTTATTTTTCAAGGCCGAGACCTGCGTGACAGAGAGGAGCAGTTAAATTAACACCTCAGAAATTGGTACAGGGAGACACGAACCCAATCAGCAGGCAAACCATGGTGTCTGCAGGTCAGCCAAAAAGTCATCCTCTTCCTTGATAGCTTATCTTTTTAACTGCAAAGAACACCTGCTGGTCTGTTAATTGAAATGAAAGCAGGGGGGGGATAGTAAAGGGCTAATGCAAATTGGTTTATGCTCTCTTTTTTTCTCCAAGGCCTCTTGACATAAATAAGCTTTAATTATTTTACAGTAAATGGCTTGTGAGCCTCTCCTACTGCAGATTTCTTGCCACCATCATAACATGTGCCTACTTGTCTAAGGCGGCACCGACCGGGTTTCTTTCATTTGTCTGTGTTACAAAGGTTTTTCTGGGAGGCTCAGTTGAAGCTCAGCTTGTCACTTAGGGCAGCCCTATATAGTCCCAGGGCTCTTACTGATGGCTATAGGACAAGGTCTTTACCTTTCCAGAACAGACTTCACGAAAGTCTCACTGTGATACTGAACGGGCCCTGCTAACTAGTTGGTGGTGGTGTGGTCATTATATCTTTAAAAAATAATAATTGTTGCATCATAAGGTGATTGTAGAAGCAAGGGAGGGACAAGCGTGTTTGCAGTAACTCACAATTAAACATTTAACTGTGGTTTAATGTGATAGGCAAATCAGGCCCCTGTGTGCAGCATATGCAAAATTTTGGGGTTACAGCCACTGCATTTATGCATATATGAAGATGGCAATGCAGATGTCATACTTTGAAGGGAAAAAACCGCCTGCACAAATGAATATCCTTTTGTTTCTTCTTCATGCAAGCAGTCACGGCTATTCTTGTCAGTGATGACTGTAATTGAAGCATCAATCTAATTAACAACTAAACTCTGAATAATGCTAATGAGAGCTGAACACGGCATCAGAGAAAAGACCAGCTCTACAGGTGATAAACCTTCACAGTAGTGACATTTTCCAGTGTAAAGTCATGGTTACTGTGATCTGATCAAAGAAACAGACCCCCATTGGGTCCAATTATAACTATAGTTTTGTGGGGGGAAATATTGAGTTACGATGTTCATAATCTATGCAGAAAGGCCTTTACAGTATAGGTCTTTTCCCTATAGCTGTGATCTTTTCAATTTATATCCAAACTCCATAGATCCAGATAAAAGTTTAGAGTCTGATTCATTTAGTCCATGGAGAGCCTACACGAATGTTCACTAAAACGTCTTTAAAAACTACAAAAAAATTACAATCTACAATTTTTAAAGTTACAGAGTTCAAGGTTGCAAAATAAATTTATGCAATTTTGTTACCTGTGAGTTAGTTTACTATTACACTGAGTTGTTTTTATAAATTAAAGTATATATATGTCATATACAACCTTTGAGAAAACTAGGTGCAATAACAACTGCAGTTATATTTATTTATTTACATTTATATACCACTTTTATCTTCCAAGGATCTCAATATGGTGTACATTTCTCAATCACTGCAGTGTGGGGCTGGCTTTGAAGTATGGCCAAAAATGTTTTTGTTTTTTTTAATTGGACATTTTCAGTAGGTTCAAAAAAATTATACAGAATGCAAGTGCCAGGCTAAGAGGTAATATAGGCTGTGGAACCATATAAAGGTAAAGGTAAAGGTACCCCTGCCCGTACGGGACAGTCGTGTCCGACTCTGGGGTTGCGCGCCCATCTCGCTTAAGAGGCCGGGGGCCAGCGCTGTCCGAAGACACTTCCGGGTCACGTGGCCAGCGTGATGAAGCTGCTCTGGCGAGCCAGCGCAGCACACGGAAACGCCGTTTAGCTTCCCGCTAGTAAGCAGTCCCTATTTATCTACTTGCACCCGGGGGTGCTTTCGAACTGCTAGGTTGGCAGGCGCTGGGACCGAGCAACGGGAGCGCACCCCGCCACGGGGATTCGAACCGCCGACCTGACAATCGGCAAGTCCTAGGCGCTGAGGTTTTACCCACAGTGCCACCCGTTGTTTTTTTTAATTGGACATTTTCAGTAGGTTCAAAAAAATTCTACAGAATGCAAGCGCCAGGCTAAGAGGTAATATAGGCCGTGGAACCATATAGTCTGACGGTAATCCAAAAGGAATTGCACTAGCTACCAATTAACTTGCAGACTGAATTCTGTGTGCTGGTTTTGATTTATAAAGTCCTGAATGGTTTTGGCCTGTGGTTACCTGAAGATGCATCTCTTTGTACAGGTGCCCCCCCCCCACTCTGTGTGAGCATCCAGCTCAGCCAGAAAGACCCTGTTGTAGGTTACAAGTCCATCTGAAACTTGGCAAGTAGTTACCAGGTCCAAGGCCACCTATTTGAAGCACTTTCCTCCCTGTGGAACTCATTCTGGAGGGAATCTTGTGTCAGGTTAGTTCACGTCAAGTTTTTAGAGAAAGATGACAAGATACGCATTTTCAGAAAAGCTGAGTGGTACCACTATGAATGATCGATTTGAATTTACTAGTGGCTGTTGTCCTCCTGCTATGGGACGCTCTTTAGTGTAAAGAATTTGTTGTACAGTGGTACCTCAGGTTGCATACGCTTCAGGTTAAAGACTCTGCTAACCCAGAAATAGTGCTTCAGGTTAAGAACTTTGCTTCAGGATGAGAACGGAAATCTTGCTCTGGTGGCGCGGCAGCAGCAGGAGACCCCATTAACTAAAGTGGTGCTTCAGGTTAAGAACAGACCTCCGGAACCAATTAAGTACTTAACCCGAGGTACCACTGTAATTATATTCTAATTGCTGTTTTTATTAAGGGACTTAAATGATAAGCAGATTGAGGAGCAAATTACGGCTGCTACATAGAATAAATAAGGTGTTATATTAAAAGACCTTCCTGAGAATATCCTAGCTTTCCCTCTTTGAGGTAAAGAACTGTTTACAGGATGCAGCTGCTAGGACATTTGTGGAGGCCAGGCATTCAAAGCATAGAACAACAATGTTGTACCGGTTGCATTGGCTTCCTAGGTTCAATTCAAAGTGCTGCTGATGACCTTTAAAGTCCTAAATAGCTTGGTATCATGTTATTAAAGTATCTCCTATACCCATATGAACCTGCCTAGACCTTAAGTTCATAACTAGAGGCCCTGCTCACAGGCCTAGTTCCATCAGACTAGCAGGCACATGAGTTAGCCTTTTAGGTGCTAGTGTCTCACCTTTGAAAATGTCTCTGCAAAACAGATACATATGGTCCAAGATTTGAACTGTTTCCGTTTGGATCTTTTATGTATGTTACAAGCATGGCTTTAAATTGCTACTGTTTTACCTTTGTGGTTGGGATTTTAATCATTTGTAAGCCACTTCAGGAGGACTTTGCCTCCGAACACAGTACATAAATACTTTAAACAAAGAAATAAAATGAATTCAGTACTACAAATTAAGAGATGATGAAGAAGAAGAGTTTGGATTTGATATCCCACTTTATCACTACCCGAAGGAGTCTCAAATTAAGAGATGAACACTATGTTGGTACTTCAGATTAGTATATTACACTTACACACACACACACACCATAGATATACACATAGATACAATCTCACACATTTATTAGAATCATGAATCAGGTTGTTTGATTCTCATCCCTACTGATTTCCACCACACTTCAGGACTCCAATCTAACTGGCGTACAAGAAAAACTAATGAGAATTATTAAACTACTGTATCAAAAGTAAACTTCTGTTCCTAATGAAGCCACTATCCGTTTAGGGGAGGAGGCTATATCTCTCAAGTGTGAGACAAATGCACAGCGAAATGATGTATTGCAAAAGCCAAGTATGTTTGGCAGAAGACAGGAATAGGGCTTTTTCCTCCTGAAAGAGAAACAAAGGATTCCCGAAAAGCCTTACATTGATTTATTTTTCCAATTTTGAATACCTTAGGAGTAGCGGAACTGCTACTGGCATGGTAGTATTCCTAACAGTCAATAAATCTAAAATATTATGTGTGAATATTGGAATGAAGCCATTAAGAAGATTACAGCACACAACACAGCAGAGGGTCCACATGAAAAAAAGGACGGGTAATTCAGGACAACTGTGACCGCTGACCTCTGAACAGTCGAGACCACTGGTCAATCTGACAAACTAATAGAGTTCACATGCATAGAAAGTCATCTAGCCTGTAAGTATAATTTAAATGCTTTGGCGAATGATTTAAAAAGGCCCGTTAAGTCTCAGGTAATTTATTAAAGAGTTGATTAGGCACAATGCCGAACAGTAATGTTTTTCAGATTTCAACTGATAACTTTTTCTTTAGAATGAAAAACCGTCCACAGTAAGTGAGACATTTTCATATTAAACAGTACTGAGAACATATGCTGTTAAAACTACTGTAGGCTGAACATATATGCAGGTATATACTTACATCTACCGTATATTAAATAATTGTGTAAATACTTATAAAATTTGGCATCAGTTTTTTTGGACTTATGGTTACTCAATAGAATGTCAACAATATTGTTGCAATTTACTGTCAACACTGATACAGGCATATGAATACTTACTCTTACTGTTGAATAATACAGTGTTGCCCTTTATCAAGTTATCAAGTAAAAAGTCTGTAGAGGCTGCTTAGCTGCACAGTGCACATAGCCTATGCCTGTATGTGTTTTTAATTAACAAATTAGCTCCATGAGGAAGGTTTTTATGGTAGAGTTAGAATGAAAGGGATCAGGACAGTAAAAATATCAAATAACAAAACAAACCTTGTTTTAGCAGAGGGGGTGGAATCGAATTACGGAGTATGCATAAGGTATTTCCCTATTTTGCTATATATTTTATACAATGAAGCACCTTTGTAAAAATCCTGTTGTTTACTGAGTGAATACAAGAAAACCTAATTAATATCAGTAGCTTATAGGCTTGCATGTAGTTGCAGACACTGATCCAAAAAGGTTGAAGTGTTTTCACTTACTATTTGCCCCCCATTCAAAGAGGTACAAGAATCCAATGCACATACCATGTGAAAAAGTGAGTCTGCTCATGTAAGAGCTCAGTGAGCTCCTGTATTTACTTGAATCTAACACTCACTTTTTTGGCCAAATTGTGTTGTGAAAATTAAGGTGCACATTAGATCCGAAGGCACATTTACATTCGCCAGCAAATACTTTTTTTGGTTTCAAGGTTCTGAGAATTGTGGTGCTCATTAGATTTGATGGTGCATTCGACTTGAGTAAATATGGCATTTGAAGTACCTAGGGACCTTAAGGTACCATATTTAATCCAGGGTACCTTGGTGAGATTATTCAAAAGCCTCAGACATCTCCCCACTGGATGTACTTGTTTTAGGAAATCTCTATATATATATATTCAGTTAGAAAACAAAGGCATACAGGGATGCAGAAATTGTACTCAGTTGCTATTAGTACTGTTAGTTGTAACTATGGCGTGTGTAAAATGGGCCTAAGAAATGTTGTTTCCTCTCATGCCAAGCCAAGATATGGTCATTAAGGAAACTGTAAAATTCGCATGATGAAGTTGTGACTCGCCCATCATTTTGCATAAGTTTACACAATCCCTCTAGCCAGTTTTGACTAGTGAGCATAAAGAGAGCTGGGTTGTAACCTATAGACACACAAAAAAAAACCCCTATGCAATGGGAAATCCCCACTGGGTGCAAAGTGCATTCTGCTGTTCACAAAAGAGAACTGAGAGTCCCCTGTGTGTTCAGAACTCTGCATGCGCTTTGAAACTACTCTAGCTTCAGGGTCTAATAAGCTAATTTCATTTCGGTGATTCAGGCGGCAAGGTCAATATATATGTATTAAGATTAAGGAATGAGTGGTTTGTTTTTGGCACAATAAAATACGATTCAAATTTATGAGAATAAGTAGACTTGTGGATAAGGTGGGTTATACATCTAAAAATAATTTGAGCACCACAATCAGTCGAGAAAACACCAATTTTTGTTTCTTTTTTCTGCCCCCACTCCCACCCAACAGCAAAGAACAAATATATTCAGCTGAATATTTAATCTGCTTCTGGTCAAGATTAATTACTTCAAAAAGTATATGATAATTTAATACAGGAACTAAATAACTTGTGGTCTCAAATTAATTTACAATGAAAATAAAAATATAAAAATGCCTTCAATGTCCTATTGCCTTGAACTGTGGCATATTTCTTAAAAAGCACATAAAACCTAGCACTCATTTTATGAATAATAGATTATTATTTCTTTCTCATTATGGAACATTTACCAACATCTAGATATGTAACAACAGCTTTTACTAAATTCTGCCTCAAAAATGCACACAGTATGATAATTTGAGCATTTTTTTCAGAACCATGATGCAGGATAGCAAGGGAAAGTAAAATGCTATTTTGGGGGGAGAGATCTTATTTAACATGAAATGTAGAATATGTTCCATTATAAGCAGCAGGAGGGAAAAATCTCTATAAGATCAAAGTCCAGGAGGAACTGGCATTTAATTTATCTTCCTTTACAGACAAAAGACAGTTTTCGTCATTTTCAAAAGGATCCAATGTCTTTTATGACAAACTGGGTTTGCAGTTTAATTTACAAATAGAATTATAAGTAAGCAGTCTTTGCTCTGCCAAAGCAAATGACAAACAGAGTAGGATTTTCAGTTCATGCAGCCCTCAGCAGGATAGAAGAGATTAAAATAAAACTGAAATAATTTAGAGAAAACAAATAAATGTTTCAGAAAGTTGAATGAGATCAAAGTGTGCATTTTCTGACCCCAACTGTACAAGCATTTCTTATTATATTGACCAGTGTCATCAGATCATTAATTAAAAGGAGATGTGCTGGCAGGTGGCAGGGAACCAGAAGCCGATAATTGGCCCCCTTCTTCTTTTTGCCTTCAAAAACTCTTCTTCTTCTTCTTCTTCTTTTGCAAGATATGCCACTAGGCAGACAGAAATGCCTACTTTGTAATATAATGATTAAAATGAGATGAAGAGACTCTTGCGTTTAAAGCAGCTATGCCTAATGAATGCAGCTAGCTTTATAATTATCTTTTTTCTCTTTCTTTTTTTTTACAATACGAAGCATGATGCTCCACTCAATGTGTCCTCAACTGTCAAAAACAGGTAAAAAAAACCACACCAAACACTCTTAAATAGGAAATATACAGCTGGTGGCATAGTGTTATTTTTGTGGGGGAAGGGGCATTCTTTTCATTTCAGCTAGTAAAAGCAGGCAAGAACGTCAGCGATTCAAGCAGCTAAGAGGATAAAACCAACGAATGAAACCTCTCAGGCTTACCACTTCACTTGGTAGGTTGCTCAGGTCATTAAATGGAGTTTCCAAAGTGTTTGTGTCAACGTTTAGCATCACCACATCCTCCAGTGATTTACTTTTCACTCTCTGTACAAGGAAACAAAATTGGTTACAAGCATCTTAATGCATCATTTGCTTATTTTAATAAGGTAAAATGCTACTGGTAACTGGGGATTCAGCAGAGTAGGAACATAAAGAAATATGGCAATATTTTTCCTAGCCTGCTTCTTCTTGTCCTAAGGGCCAGCAGAGAATCTTTACACAACACAAAATTAATTTATGGAATTAATCACCAGAAGATATGGCAAATGTCTGCTATCTTACATGGTTTTAAAGTGGGTTTAAACAAATGCATAGAGGATCAGGCTATTTATCATGGGGGTTGTATAGTTCTCTAGGATCAGATACAGTATGCCACTGAATTCTTCTTTCTGCTTTGGTGATCACTCATAGCCGAGTAAGATTGTCTTCCATGAACACGGTTTTAATAGTGAGTCCGTAAGTGACTGTGGAGGCCAATTCTGGATCCACACATCCTTAGGTTTCTGGGCGGGAGTCGATCACGGTGAGGGTTTGCCAAGCATGCCGTCCTCTTAGCACATTTCTCCCTTTCGTCCTGAGTTTGAGCGTCTTCAAAGCCCATGATACCTTTGGTAAAGGCTGTTCTCCAACTGGAGCACTTGCAGGCCAGTGTTTCCCAGTTGTCGGTGTTTATACTACATTTTTAAAGATTTGCCTTGAGAGAGTCTTTGAACCTCTTTTGTTGACTACCAGCATTACACTTTCCATTTATAAGTTTGGAATAGAGTAGTTGCTTTGGAAGACGATAATCAGGCATCCGCACAACATGACCAGTCCAAAAAAGTTGATTTTGAAGAATCTGCCCAGCCCCACAGGCCACTACAGTTACTAACTGAACTACAAGCAAAAAAAAGCTTCACTGCTGCCATCTTGGAGCACTTTCTTTGCCTTCTGACAAATTGGGGTAAGAGGGGGCCTATCAGAAGTAGATACATTTGGTGGGGTTATGAATCACCTGTGATGAATCTCACTCAAGTTCATGCAACTGACTGATGCTTTCAAATTCCTTAGGAAAAAGTTCTATCGTTTTCCAGCTAAAACAACAAAATAAGCACCAGTCCTGCCAAGGAAGCTGTATAACAGGTGTAATTCTTCAAACTTGCCAAGACATAGATTACTTCCTAAAAGATACATATATACAACATGCTATATAATATCTGAATGAAATACCAGGGGGAAAAATCACACATGTAACTTACTTGTTACCAAGCAACAAGTTGTACACACACAAACACTAGCTATCTGAAAAATCAGTATTCACTTATTAGCTATATATTTTAAGAACCATATATAATCAATAACAGCGTGTAGCAAGCAGCTGGTTCTCTTTCTTTTCCAGTTACCTCCCCTTCCATATTAGAGGCCTAGATGCTGCAAAAAAGTGCAGAGTACAAAGTGACCGTTGCAGTGCTAGCAAATGCCCATGCTGAAAAGGACCACAAAAGGAGGAGAAAAACCGGCTGAGGAATATTCAGGATAGGTTCGGTGCTTCACCCGAAGAAATGTACTCCTACACTGCAGCAACTGAAAATGTGAATCCCCCATCTAATTCCATTTCCCAGCAACACAGGATACCAAATAAAAGCACATGTCGCTGAAGGGACCCACTTTCCGTACAGTCGTTTCCAGTTCATCTCCTGCAATAATGCCAGGGTTACTTTTCAAATTTCTGCTGAAGATAGCTTCACTTTTTTCACTCTGAATACTTTTCAGGACAAAGGAGGAAGTTGTAGGAGAACAAACCATATATATATATATATATATATATGCTTTCGTAGATTTTCACGGGTACAGGAATGCAGGTTTTGGTGTCCTCGGGTGTCTTCCCGTGTAAAAGTTGGGGTGTCTAGGCGACGTTTCGACGAGGTCTCACTCGTCATCTTCAGGCTGGTGCTTTCATGAAGATGACGAGTGAGACCTCGTCGAAACGTCGCCTAGACACCCCAACTTTTACACGGGAAGACACCCGAGGACACCAAAACCTGCATTCCTGTACCCGTGAAAATCTACGAAAGCATATATATATATATATATATACACTCATGCGCCAAATGCATAGAGAAATGAAAAGGCAGCCTGACTCACCTCCATTAAACTGAAGTGAACTCCAATCAAGTATGGCATGGGTGCACTGAAATTAAAAGAAAATGAAACAAAGTGAACTACAGTTAGAAAACCTAAAAGGCTAGCATCTCCATTCACTTTGCCGTATTTGCCTGCAAAGCTACTGTAAGATGGTAGTTTGCAACTTTCAATGGCGGTGTGACAGTGGATATTTAAGAATGGCAATCGGTCTAGAGATCTCATCTTCAATTGACAGGTCAGGATGCACAAATGGGTTGTGCCATGATCCAAGGTGAATCACAACAGGAGCATCACCACCATGAAAATATATGATAGAAATTAAGAAATGGGTCTCTAAATGCATGTTTGGTTTAAAAGTGGGTCTTGGGTCTTAAAAGGCTGGAGATATGTGGTCCAGAGGATACTATACACAAGCTTTCATTTATGATAGCACTCCCCCCCCCCCCAGGTTTCAGCCCAGCATATTTAAGTTGATTTCCTAATTACTCATTTTAAAGTAAGTTATAAAAAGTATTTATATAGAACTATTTAAAAAAAAAATCAGAGCATCTTACAACAATAAAACCATGCAGTTAAAAATTTAAAATCAGAGTTCAACTATTACAGAAGTAGATTTTTTTAGGTTAAGCTTGCCATAGCTGCTTCATTATGTGAAGTGTCACTATAGTATAGATTAATCCTGCCCTCTGTGTGCAGGGGCAGAGTATGAGATACTGTACCAGGTGATGACATTGCACACCTCCATTCATACCACCAGACTAGTCTTCCCCAATCTGGTGCTCTTCTGATATTTTGGAATACAATTTCCATCAGCTTTGGGCCACATTGACTAGAGCTGATGGGTTTTCTATTTCAAAAGACCTGGAGCACACAAGGTTAGAGGAAAGCTGAACTAGGCTATTCAAAGACTCCACATATTAGCCACTCACACTGAGTGCTTTAGCTGGGGTCTAGACTGACTCATTCTCCTTTGCTCCTTGCTAATTGATCAGAAAGTCATGGCATCTAACATCCAACTGGAAATTTCACTGAAAACCTCCCCTCAGGGAAGGCAGGACTGTGGCCAAAGAAAATGACATAATGTGACATATGATGACACAACCATTCTCTTTGGCGATTAGATATAGCTGTCGTTATGAGTAATCTTGTCACTTCACAATCAGTTATTACAACCTATGTGATAAAGCTACAGGAAATTAATTGAAGTGATATTGAATATATGCAGGAAAATTCTCTTTCACCTGTGTCACAGTGTGTATTTGAAATTATTGCATTTTAAAATAGATCAAATCCCCACGACATTGTTATGCCTTGCTGGACTGCTACAAAGAGTTTTGGTTATACATGGTTTCTTTTCTACTACATCAATTATCCCTCCTCTTGGCCACCTCCAAAGTAATTATTATGATTAGCTTTATTAACCATCCATGGGAGGTGACAGCAATATAAAATACAGTATTAAAAACAGTTTAAAACAACTTGCAATCATAACCAGATTGGGTCCTAATATACCTTAAATGTCAAAGGCGAGGGTAAAGAGGTACATCTTTGGCATATGATGGAAGCTGTACAATGAAGGAGCCAGACACACTTTTGCAGGCAGAGCCTACTTCTGTAAGCTGCCCAGAGTGGCTGGGGAAACCCAGCTGGGTGGGCAGGGCATAAATAAATAAAAAATATTTATCATCCACCCCTTCAAAACAGCTGAGGGCAGAGGAACTACCAAGAAGGCCACTTATGCTAATCTTAACACCCAAAAGAGTATGTAGGGAAGAAGGCAGTCTTTCAGACACTTGAGGCCTAAATCAATTAGGGCTTTAAACCTAATTGGGCCCAGAATCAAACTGGCAGCCAGTACAGCTGTTTTAAAACAGGGATTCTGTGAGTTTTAAAGGAAACCCAGCCAGTAATCTGGTCACTGCATCAGGGATGAGCTGAGTTTTCCGAGTTTTCATGGGCCAGCTCCACATGGGTGCATTGCAATAATCCCATCTGGAAGGTACCAAGGCATGGACTACTTTGGCCAAGTCATATCCATTCAGAAGGGGTCAGAACTGCTGAACCAGCAGGAGCTGGGGGGCAGGGGAGCTCTCCTAGTTACCAAGGCTACCTGAGCCTCAAGTGACAAGGCTGAATCAAGAATCACACCCAAGTTTTGGGCCTGATCCTTCCAGGGGTGTGCAACCCCATCTAGGACATGCTATCTCCCCACCTCCTGGACATGAGAACTCATGACACCTAACACCTCTGTCTTTTCAGGATTTACTGGCTCACATCTAGTTCATCGCCAACTCCAGACACTGGTCTAACATATCAGCCGCCTCTCTTGATTCAGATGGAGCAGTGATATAGAGATGGGTTTCACCCACTAATATAATATAATATAATATAATATAATATAATATAATATAATATAATAATATTAAATAGCATAGGAAACAAGATGGAACCCTGCAGGAAACAACAGGATCACTCCCATGGTGCTGAACAATAGCCTCCCATAACTACTTTCTGGACATGATCCAGGAGGTACTACCAAAGTACAATGCTGCCAAGCCCCCACTTCTCTGAGACACCCAACAGTATCAAAAATCACCCCAAGATCAAGGAGAAAAGGCAGAGTCATCCCCCCTCCCCATTTCCTGACAAATGTAATCAATCAGGGAAAGCAACCACAGCAATTTCAGTACCATGGCTAGACCTGAAGACGGACTATAATGAATACAAGTAATCACAGTCTCCCAAGCATGCCTGAAGCTGTACTTCTTTAAGGGAACTCAGTACCACTCTGGATGCCTCCATTAGACTGTGGCATCCAACTCTGTCCAAACTGCTTTTGTGCCTGACGCGCCTTGCAAAGTTGTCACAAGTGGCTTCCGAGCAAAACTCTCTTAACCAGATGACAAAAGCCCATTCACCACTTGGAAAAGCTCTGCTGGATGACGACTTGAGAAGGCAATGGTGGCAGAAAAACAACCCTCCTCCCTCATTTGGGAAATATTTCGCCTGACAGAAGGGATATTTTAAAGAATGTAGTAGATTGCACTGAAACAACAAAGGCCATGGGGACCATAAAAATCTGAAGTAGAGATCAGAAAACATCAAATGACTACACATACATAGATGATTGTTGCCTTTCATCTCTAGACATCTTTATGTAAAGGGGGGGGGTAGATTTGCTCTGGTTTATTTTGTTAAAAGGCACCCAGATCTGATCAATAGAAAGAAATAAAAGGTTGTGAGCTGATGCCTACTAAATAAGATTCATACGTTTGGATAAGGATGAGGTTGCAATTTACAAATATATTTTCATACATGACTATTTGGTGTAGCTTCTGCAATGTTTTAAAAGTTTGTTTTACTTATATTTAGAATAATAATAATAATTATTATTATTATTATTGTTATTATTGTTATTATTATTAATTATTTATTATTTATACCCCGCCCATCTGGCTGGGTTTCCCCAGCCACTCTGGGCGGCTTCCAAAAGAATATTAAAATACTGTTATTTTATCATCTTCATCAAAACATAAAATTAGATGTTCTAAGCTAGAGAATTCCAGCATTTTTAAGTCCAATAACCTGCCAGCAAATGGGACAAGCATTCTGTCCAGACCATGTCCAGTCCAGTCAATGGCATCTGGATTCCATCTAGGATCTGATAATCCTAATATTTTGTTCACTTGCTGTGAGATGCAGCTGGTGCTAGAATGGCTACCCAAAAATTATTTGCAAAATACCCACAATAGTTGCATTGCTCTACTGGTTATCCAACACAAGTCCTTCAGCATCCCTTGATAGGCTTTCTCCCTTATGAGAGAACACAACCCACTCTTTTCTGCATTTATGGATTTTCAACAGGCACTGCACATAAATAGAACAATCAAAGTGATCTGAAACCAAAGTTGGGAGCTCTCCCAATATTGTTTTTACATATTTCTAAAGTTCATATTGCATGCAGCTTGCCCTGCATTTTCCCAAACAGGTGCCCATTTTGATGGTATTGATTATCTGTCATAGCATAGTCTTTTGTGCTCAGATGCACGTGGCCAGCAAAATACAAGGGTCACAGAAGGGATTCAGCAGGGGAATGACTTGCAACATAGGGAATGTGTGCTGGGACCAATTTATGTCCCTCATTCATGACATGCATCGTAGGCACAGATGACCTAACACCAGGTTCACCTGAGACACAATGATACTGTATCACGAAGCAGTAGGGGATGTTGGATAAAGCAGGGGAAGCTAGAATGAGCTGAACTGCAACAATATTTCCCCAGAATGTAGATAATTCTGGCAGCAAACTACCTAAAAACCACCTTAGTGCTCGCTCCTTCTTGGGTAAATAAGACAGAAAGAAACAGTAGCTGAAAAAGTCACTTACGACTTCCATACTGCTCACAAACATCAGAAATGTCAAGGAGATCTTTGTAATGGCACACCTTGCGAATGTGAATAGATTACTTGGGCTGGGGGAATGCCACTTTGTGTATGCAGAAACCGCTGCATATGACATTCAGTTTTGTTGGCTTAAAAGAGATTTCATTGTTGAACGTGGTCACATTTTAGTCAGCGAACCAATGATCAATGTTGAATTTAAATCTGGGTTTGAATCCAAGTCCTGCTGCTTTCTAACTGGGCAGCATTAGGCAAGTCAGTTCCGATCTAGAAGTTGGAAATAGTAACAAGCAATCTATAGGAGTGCATTTTAGAATGCTTTATACCTTGCATAATTATCACACAATGCAATTTGATGTTTAATCAGAAGGAAGTCCCACTGTGTTCAGTGCAGCTGCCTCCTAGCAAAGCATGCAAAGGATTGTCGCCATAGTGGGAAATAATATATTTTTTTCTATCTTACCAGCAGTAGTCCAGCAGATGTGGAGGGAGCACTGGGATGTATATGTGTTGCCAGTACATTGGATATAGCAATGCGGATGACCCATGAATGCAAGCAGTTAACTAAAAGTAAAAACAAAACACAGAGCTGAGAACAAAGTAACAAATTCCTGATTTTAATTTAAACACCAAGAAAAGAAATTTCCAAGGCAGAATACGTTTTACCAAGAACTGAAATGTATTTTACCAAGAACTGAGATGTATCTAAAACATCTGAATGAATGTCATATGAATATAAACAATATAAAGGCAACACCACATTCTCATAAAGGCATAGAGAAACAGTTGTGTTCTCATTTCAAAATGAGCCGATTCAGATTTGCAAGCCTTCCTCAAACAAATATTTTTCTTGAGACATGAATCTACAGGAACAATACTGCCACAGAAAGTGACAAAGGCAACTAGTTCTGCTGCCCTCCCATACTCAGGTACTATTCAGACTGTGATCACAGCAGAGGATGTTTTGTTTTTAAATAATTTTCTCCCTGGGCTGCTATCATTGCCCAGGATTATTAGACAGATAGATCCAAAAAACTTTGATGTGAACAAAAGTAGAAGACTGGCTCTTACAGGAACACATAATGGAATAAACTCCCCCCCCCACCCCATGAAAATTAAAAGTGACGCCTATAATTAAACTAAACAGAAAAAGGCTCCTGAAAAACTCAACTGCTAGAGGCAAATATATAGGTAATAGAAAGTAGTAAAAAAAAGATTAATGTTTTGTTTTCTCTAGTTCGCACAGTGGTACCTTGGTTCTCAAACTTAATACGTTATGGAAGTCCATTCCGAAACCAAGGCATGCTTTCCCAGAGAAAGTAATGCAAAATGGATTAATCCATTCCAGAATTTTAGAAACAACCCCTAAAACAGCAATTTAATATGAATTTTACTGTCTAACGAGACCATTGATCCATAAAATGAAAGTAATAAATAATGTACTGCAGTCACACAATCAATCAATCAGTAGCTGAACTGGGTTCCACACAAGTCACAAAAACAAAAAGCCACAAAAACAAAAACTCTAAATAAATAGCAAAAACAGACAGACCTCAGCGTAACACTCAAAACGGAAGTGGGGCACTTAAAATGGAAGTGTAACACTCAAAACAGAGCACATTCGGCTTCCGAAAATAGTTCGCAAACTGAAACACTTACTTCCAAGTTTGCAGTGTTTGGGTTCCAAGTTGTTTGAGTACCAAGGCATTTGAGAACCAAGGTACCACTGTACTGCAGTGAGCTGAAAACAACTGTTTGGAGAGCAATCCTATCTATACCAGTTTATTTCGGGGGTTACTCTCAGGCAGCTGTGCATAGGATGACAGTATAAATCTATTAGGGAACTTTTGCAGCATTCCCTTGTGGCTAACTTTCCAGGAGCCACATGCCACCACGGTGGATGTGGCCAAACTCAGTGGCGTAGCATGGGGGGTGCAGGGGGGGCCGGCCGCACCGGGCGCAACATCTGGGGTTAGGGCAAATCCACAGGTTAGGGGGCGCAAATCCACGGGTTAGGGGGCGCAAATCCACGGGTTAGGGGGCGCAAATTACTTGCCTTGCCCCGGGTGCTGACAACCCACACTACGCCACTGGCCAAACTGAAAGTGGGCGTGGATAAGTTGAAAGTGGGCTGGCCATCCCACACTCTTTCACGCCACGTACATTTGTTCTCTTTCACATACACACACATCAGGCTTTCACTCTAACTCAAGCCCTCCCCAGGCTCTAATTTGGCTTTAGTAAAGTCTCCTATGGAAACCAAGTATAAGTTTTTCCTGAGCCCAGTTCTGGGGGGTGACGGAGGTTAGAGTGAGAGACTAGCTGTGATGCAGGGGGAAGGGGAGTGGAGGGAACTTTATTGCACAGAGAGGAAGAATTCACCCTCCCTTCCCCAGATGACACCTCGTCCAAAATTGGCGGCTGAGCCATATTTAGACCGGGAAGGGAGGAATTTCCTTCTGACAACAATGTGGAATCTTTTATTCAGTAATTTTATTTAGTATTTGTTTGCATGTATGCTTTTCCAACATGGATTATGGAACACATAGAAAGGTGATGTGTTATGGGAAATGCCTGTCTCTTTGCTTACTAAACACTACAGTCATACCTCGGGTTGAATGTGCTTCGGGATGAGCGCATTCGAGTTACACTCTGCGGCAACTCCAAAGTAACGGATCACGTTACTTCCGGGTTTCGCCGCTTGCGCATGCGCAGACGCTCACAATGTCATGTGCATGCGTGGAAGCGGCGAAAAGTGATGCACGTGTGCGCAGGTGTGCCGTCGCTGGTTACGTGGTTCAGAAAGAACAGATCCCGTTCGCATCTAGAGGTACCACTGTACATGCCAAACTGGGGAGGCCACCATATGCAGCTTTGGACATTAGTGTGTGCTCGTTTTAATCGGAAAGCACTTTTCCAATTTTGCCACACCAAATCTTGCTAAGTAAAAAAAACAAGTGACATTAAGATGGCTCAAACCAAGAGAAAAGGAAGCATGTTCTTCATGCAAAATACTTGGCATTTCTGGGTAGGGCTGGGAAAGAAGACCTCCGTCTGAAACCCTGGAGAGCAGCTGCCAGTGCTGACAATGCCAGACTAGATGGACCAGTGGTCTGACTCAATATAATGGAAAATGGAAGGGCAGCACAGGAGATCTGAATAAAAGCTTAGTGTGCCAAGGGTGAGGCAATCCTAATATGCTTCGCTACAGCAACATGAGAAGGGGTAGGGGTGGGGGGTGGCGGCACTAAAATGGCAAGAAGACAGAACAAAGCTGGCACCATTTACAGAACAACTTTCTGAATAAACGCCCAAACAGCATCTTGTTTGATGAAAGCCGGGATCATGCTTCTCTGTAATGAGGTGTTAATCTCTGCTAACAATTGTCTCAAGAGCCCAGTCTGCTGTACAATTCACAAAGGGGACAAACAATCCTTCTTCTGCATAGTATCCAGTTTGGGGCCTTCTCATATTGTTAGCACCATTTGAAATACAAGAGGGATTAACACGAATATGCTTCTTTGGACAAGCCCCTTCCGTCGTTAAAGAGAGCTAGAGTGATTTCATATGAATGAGATATATTCCTTTCCAGCAGATACGGCAAGGGCAGATACAGCAAGCTGAACATAACCCGTTGCATTGCTTTGTTATTTTTAGACTCTGCCAATCTACTATACATTTCCTGCTGCTATAACAGAAAACTGCTTAACTCATTGTATACTTCTGACCGAGGACAGCTTAGAAACCATTGTGGGACTGCAATAAGACAAGAGGTCTTCTTTTTATTTGCTAAATTTAAGATCTAACAAATAAAAAGAAGGGGTAGGGGTTGAGCACTCTCTGTCCAAGAGGGGACCTCTTAGAAGATGCATGTCACAGGACCCATTCTGACAATATCACCGTGCAACTGCATGGGATTTAAAACATGGTTCCACTGGAGAGAGGAGCCACTTCTGTGGATTCCTTCCTTGTGGTCTAGGGATTCTGCCATCATGCCAATAGCAGCAAGGAAGAGCCATGCTGTGGCATCTCCTACACTGCTAAGGTGAGAACGGGGCTTAAATTAGGCTCCCCCAAAGTAAAGAATAGAATATGGAAGGGTGGTTGAGGGAGATGAGTGGGACCACAGCAGTCCAGTTAAATAAAAGGGAAAGAAGCAGAGCTATCTAGGCCCACAAAGGAAAATTGGCTGGTGGAAATCAAGGCTCGGCTCTCCTATGGGTCCTGGAAAGGGGTGGGGCACCAGCCACCTGGACTGCACTGCCTAGGAGTGGTCAGGGGAGCTCAAATGCTTCTGACAGCTGTTCATACCTCATGCTCTAAGGGGGTTTTGCATAGAGATCCTCTGTGAACAGACTGAGCAAACCTAGGGTATTTCAGAGAAGGATGCTTGCATTTCAGAATCATTTGAGTTATAAATTTCTATCATTTAAAAAGGAAAAAAAAGCAGTGGGGAAAGAAAATGCTTTAAATAATAATAATAATAAGCCACACACAAAAAAACAAGAGACAACTGTTTTGTGCAGCCCTGTGTGCTCTTCGCTCGGATTAATCTAACAGGATTAAATATGGAAAAGAAGAGGGGTCTGAAAGCTCCTGAGGGATATCATTAGGGCAAATTGCCAAAGAATGAAACATGAGCCAGCCAGGGGGGGCTGGAAGATGCAGTAATACCAAGGGACTTGAATGTTCGACAGTTGGAGCTTCAGTAATGTGTGAACTGCGGGTTACAGACTCTGTTCACTGACACATAGAATGTCACTATTGACCACCGAACTGCCCAAGCTTGACAGCTATACTACAGGCAGCCAAAGATGTCATAATTCCACTGTTAAGCTGCCCATTTCTGATTAAATTTTGCTTCCTACTTCTTAGCCAAACAGCTGCAATTTTACAGAGTTGTGTTTCTTCCCCCATTGTTACTTAAGATAAGTGCCATTTTAATTACTGTTTTCTTGCTAGAGATAATTTAATGTTTCAGCAAATGAATAGCTTGCCTCCCTCCCTAATGTTTATTCCACTGGCTGCATTTCCAATTACCTTCCTAAATAATTTCTGAAATCCTCATGATGCTCTATCATCATTAAGAAATACTTTTTTTCAGGTAATCTTTACAAAGAAACAAACTGGGAATTTAAATATTAAAACTTTCACTAACTATAATCCAAAGAACCAAGCATGTGGCATAAGTCTTCACACCCAATATTTCTGGACTGTTTCCATAAAGGAAGCTAATACTTATCAATATGTATCTCTGAGTTCAGCTTCTATTTCCCTTCCTGGCCATTTTCTGCTTCAGTACTCAACTACTCTCTAACTCTTTTCAGTATTCTGGCTTGCTTAAAAGTGTTTCAGCCTTTTTTAAATTTCTTGCAGCTATTCAGCTCCAGCTCCTTGACTTCTCAACTCTGTAACTTCACAACTTTTCTTTCCTTCAACTAACAACATCTTCCAACTCCATTTTTCTCTCAATACTATATTTGCACCAGTCCCTCACCATGCAGCTCCCATTGAAGAATCTGTAGCACTGCATCGTGAGCCTGGATTTGCATGTATTCAGGGTG